TACCTTTCAGTAATCTTATCAAGATGACGCGGCTACCCTGTTTGTCACCGGTACTTATCGATTGGAAGACACGTCGCATCGTCCCCAATTTGTCACATCGTACACCCCAATGATCCACCCCATCTGATTCTATGTATAATCTATCATATCGAAAGAGTAGGGTGCCCCCTTTTTGTTGACGACAGATGCAAAAGATATCGAATTTCGTGTAACTACTATAGAAAACATCAATGAATCGTATTTTTAATCGTAAATTTATTAAAACTTCGTACGTATAAAAAGAAAATTATTTTTGTTTTTATAATATAGTTGGAGATTACGCTGTTTGTTACGCCGCGTGTTACGAAATATATCTTAAAACACTTAAGTTAGAAGTTTCGGTTTAGGATGGGTTCCTAGGTTTATTAAGGGCCGGAATGACGGTGCGTGGGCCTTAGAAGGTCCGACAGCGAGAGATGGTGTGTATTGTCCCACGTGGCGTAACACTATTAGTTGAATAAAAATAACTTTATACCGTTACGATATCATACAACGATATCACATCGTCTAAAGTTATGTGTACAAATTATTATTTACCTAGACATTGAGAATTTCGAATCACAAAAATAGCACAATGTTTCGAACTTCTGAAACTTTTTCAGTTCATCAATCAAAATGAAAATCAAAGGATTTCGAGATTTTGAGGTTTCAAAGGTTCCAACCCTAATATAATATAAGTGAACGATATTTCTCGTTTAAACATCGATCAGGCATCATTTCCGAGATAACAAAAATAAACACCAGAATATTCCTTTTTATTGTTATTTAAATTGTACTTTACAGTTTGTCCAGCTGGAAATTCGCTAAATTTTTTTAGCTTAATTGCTAAATAACATGTAGATGGCTACCTCCAACGGGATACCATCATCGAGTTCCAGAATATTAGGTGCTAATTATCCTGAAAGGAATACGCGAAAATGATAATATTGAAATGTGATAAAGCGTACTGACAAAAGAGAAACAGCGAAATCGCGTAACTATTCGACGTAACGTCTGCAACTTCCTGGAGGAACGATGCAGCGGGTATCGTTGCAAGAGAATAACGGTGGTCGTAAATCGTGAAACCTCTAAATCCGTGAAATGGAAAATATCAGACGCTATTACGACCCGGTTATCGTTCGGTGCTGTTTCTTATTTGCTATCCATCTTGTTTATTACGTTTACTATTACTATAATCTTTCAGCAGACACACTTTCATTGATTTTGCATTGAGAAGATTGTTCAATTATTTAAGTTTCACTGATAATTTATAAAATTCACAATTCTTCGTAGCAAGTTCAAGATACACATCTTTCGGATAGCTAAATCGTATCGTCTGTTTAGGTTTCCCCAGCAACCAATGCGAAACGAGTTTCATTTAGCTTTGCGGTTGAGGAGTCGGGTCATTAGATTTGATGAACTGCGGTTACGTCAGCGAGATGTTTCCTGCGTAAAGTACATTCCTTTTAGAGCCGAAAAATTTTATAGGATTCTGACTTCTGGTCAATTTAATCCTCTATATTATCCCATTACATTTCAATTTTATATACAATATAAATATTAATTGTTGTGATAGCGAATAAAATTGGTAAAAAGATCCTCCAAAACACATAATAGTTATTTCATAATAATTTTATATTTTATAGCATTATAATGTACATATATGTACAATGTAGATATAAAAGTTTTCTACGACCAGTTCAAATACTTTCGTGAGCCAGTGTATATGTAAACCCTATACTACGATGTTTTGTATATTACATCCAACGAAGAAGCAATGTGGAGTTACTTAAGATTATTTTCAAAGGAAAAATCACTTAAAAGGAACGTCTTCCGCCGAATAACCATTGCGAATTTTCAGCGAGCGTTTTCCTACGCAATTTCATTTTCTAACGCAATCCCATTTTCCAATGAACGCCCCTGAAGCAAGATTACAGGACGTGGAATGCTCGTCAAGTCGCCTATAGACATTCACCGGTCGGAACGAATCGAAATTGCACAATTTTCAATCGACGATTCTCGTCGTGTTTCCCGTCGGAATTAACGAAACCACCAGGTTCGTTCACTACGCTCGTTGCCACCTATCCTGCAGCAATTTATTAACACCGTGATCCTTGAAAATTCCCGATGAGACGAGTCGTTAAGACCGATCGTTCCTCCAACGAGTTTGTCGATCACGAGTCACGACTTTTACCTTTAAGCGCTTCTCCTACGTTCGAATCGACGTACGTCGCGAAACCATCTTGCTGGATTTTATTCCACACCAGCCACGAAATCCATCTTTCTATTTTCTTCCTCCTCGTTCTTTCGAAATTTCAAATATCGAAGCTGATCGCATGGATGAGTCGGCCCGCGATTTTTCGAGGTGATTGTTCGATGATGGGCAATCATGCGATGGGAGAGAGATTCAATTGGCAGTACCGCGGGATTGATTGTTTCGTAGAAATAGCCTGGCGCTGAATCAGCTTACGGGCAGGTGAAAACTGGCTGTTGACGTAGAAAGAAGAATTAAAATCAGCGATTGTGTTAGGAGAATATGAGGTGTAAATAGTTCTCCTGATACGACATATATCCGAAGAATTTTTCCAAGCAAATTTCTCGAGAATCAATGAGAATTTTTGGTGCAAGACTGGGAACTTGTATTAGGAAAATATGATTTGCAGTAGATGATAATAAATTTGAGAAATGGGCATTCAGGCCACTGAATACTGGGTTTTATCGATATAATGGAACATTGTATGTTTAAATACTTTTGTGATCTTGACAAAGCATATACGCACTTCTAACTTAATATAAGTATCGTGTAACTTCTATAAAGTTTCAAGATGATTCAACACACATAGGAAGATATCCATCGTGGAAGGCACTCGGAGATGGTGTCCCTCTGGGGATAGCCATCCACATATTATTTAGCAATTAAGCTAGAAAAATTTACCGAATGTCCATCTGAACAAATTGTAAAGTACAAATTAAATGATAAAAAAGGAAAAAAAGTCGTGGAAAGTATCTACAAGCCTTTCGTGGGCCTGCCAATTACATTGTTCAATTATATCAATTGGTCTGAATGCAGGGAAGCTAAAGTAAGATAATTTTAAGCAGAAGAGACTCAACGCTACCATTCTACAATTACTCATAGAACCGTTATTGTCCCGTAAGCGGGGGGATTAACAACGTCCACGGGCGATAGATATCCGCTGAAAGAAAGAAAAACTCGCTCTCCTTGTCCCGACGTGGCCAATTACTCTAGATTCTTTACTTTCGCGAGAAGCCTCGTGCCTCGAGTCACGAATAGCTCGTGCGCGTATACGCGCGAGATCGCGGCATAATTTTTAACGAATCCAGCAACGCTCGATTAACGTGGAATTGAAATTCATATACGTGACACCTGCGCCGATGCCCGGCCTCTTTTTCCGTTTCTGAATCCAACAACGTCATTGAGAAACTAACTAACCATCATTGCGTGCACCATAGTTTTGCCTCTCGACATCCACACGGATTTATATCCGAATGTAAAAGAAGTAGATACGCGCAAGTCATACGAAGCAAAAATATTTTGCTATGTTAGAAAGCAGTTAACGAATTAACTGTTATGAACAAATGTAGACAATATTGCGTTGCACGATAATAAGAATGGCATTTTAGAATGGTGTTCTAAGAGAATTACGTTCCTCTACGTGACGATGAAGTAAAGGAGACGATTAGAACGTGATTAAAACGAGGGATTTCTGTACTTGCCTCGGTAAATCCTTCAGTGGACGGCCTTGGATTAAAACGATTAATTTCTTCAATTTCGATCGTTTAAACACACAGTAATGTTTATATCCATGTCCCTAAAACAGTCTGCATTAGTAATTTACAAATGAACACACGTTATTTATATGGTACATTCTAATATTATTATAATGGATCTCTTTAGAACCATTCTTTAAATATCAACCGTTTCCACGATGATTATAATTATCATGGAACAGTGCGTGGTTGCATGTAGGAAAGCTCATGTTTAGCAAGTTTTTTTTCTAATTTAATTTGTACTTTAGAATTTGTCCAGTTGGACATTCGGTAAATTTTTCTAGCTTTATTGCTAAATAACATGTGGATGGCTACCTCCAATTGGATACCATCTTCGAGTTTGTCTATTTTATTTCCTTAGTGAGGTCAGTGAGGTGTTTTCTCTTTAGTCTTCCTTTTATAAGAGTTTTACTCGCTTCAGCAGCTAGCTGGTTTGGATGTGTTGCCGTTCTTTCCTCGTATTTTTTTGCGTATTTGCCGATTTCTTCTTTAACCGTTGGTATTTCTAAGTCTTTGCGTATATCCTCGTTTTAGCAAAGTGATGCTGAAAGTTATCATTGAAAGAGCAATGCAGATACGAAGATACGTAGAATGACTGGCTTGAATAGTTTTCAGAAAACTGTTTCGAAGCCATTAAAACAGTTCCGTGGTATATGCAAGTAAATGCATTAAATTAGTTTTAAACAACTATCGTTCGGGGTTTGCAGTAGCCGTCGGTTACTTTCCGTTACCCTCTACATAAACCAGACTCTATCCCACAGGCAAGATGACCACCAGATCTTTAAGCCCCTTATTGCGGACTCTCAATAATCTTAAAGACTTATCATACATTTTAGCATTTTCGATAGTTAAGGTCCTTAAGACCACGCAAGTATATTTTAAGTTGAAGCATTCCTTTGAGTTGTCCATTCCGAGAAAACACGGGAAAGCGGATTTTTCCCATGTACAATGCCATTGTACTTTCATTGGGCCAGCATCCATCCTTACCCAGCCTTTTTCTCATTCAGTTAGCAGCAATGACCGTTGCCCTCACTTTCCTAACTAAAATTGCTATCAACGAATCTGCTTATTGTATGCTTTAGACATAGCCATCACTAGTTCTCCTTCGCGACAGCAGCATCATGGAAATGCTAGTACAATAGTTTTTCAATCTTCGATCAATCAGCTGACAAACACAAAAAAAAGTAAAATAATCGTATACGTCATACGGAAACGTATAAGTACACGATACTTCCTGTTATCGATATAACAATAAGCAAGATAAATGTATATTAAATCAGGCGTTTCGTTCTTCGGTGAAATTATGTCCAAAATAAATGGCGTTAGTGATAGTTGTATGAAGCCTGTAGCACAGAAAACGTCCATTCCTGTAAATCGATTGCAGCGATTCGTGAAATAAATTGTAGAATGAAACGACGTAGTTTTCTTATCATTTATCTCAGCAAGATACATCCGACAAAATGAAGCAACTTTTTTGGCGTACTCTACCATAACGTCAAATTCATCTTTCACTGTATTGATTGACTAATCCTTCCACATAGCATTGAGCAGCATCTCATACTGAAAATTTTTGGGTCTCGTGAACCAAAAATATAGGAAAGGTATATGAAACTTACAATAAGTCTCGTCTGTTCCAGAATAGCAATTTTAGAATCATTTTTCCGTGTGTAAAATTGAACATTACTATTCGAATTGGTAATTCGAAAATAAGGTCCTCGCGTCGATGAAAATGTTTTCTTTATTTCAGATGTTAATAATGTCAAATAAATACAATTAACTTCATATTCTGCTATAATCTACTATTACGTGAAAAATATAAAAATTACTATTTGTCGTGGTCACAAATCACGTTGTAATAACAATATTAAAAAGTCAATAATGAAACAAAATTCGCATAATGAAAGTGCATCCATGATAGCACTTGAGGTTAAAATCCAATTTCACAAAAACTAGTTTCAAAAGTTACTATAATTCAGTGTATATCGGTCCGTTGTTTATGTTGATCTCAACACTGTGTAATAGGAAACGCATAGTTTTATCACCTGAAATAGATCAATATTGTCCAGCGAATGTATCGTAATTATCGAAGATAATATTATTGATACATTACTTCTGAGAAGCTTTGCATGTTCAATTCTATTAAACCACCAGCAGTTAAATAGCGTGGAGTTAGACTTCGCCGCAACGCTAATATATACAACGCTTGCGTCTTTGGATTTGCATTGTACCATGATGCCTCGTATCTACGAATTACATTATAATCTCTAAATTTCATACATTTAAGTCGTACAAACAACCACTCCAACGAGGTGAAAATAGATTAGAAATTTCTGGTTTACACAAGCTTATGGCAAACATAGTTACTTTATATTTAATTTAATTCCAAAACATGCTATACAGGAAAATTTAAAAGAGCATAAATAGATAAAAGTACTACCCAATTACCTAAAACGCTTTATACTATACAGGAATATAGAATCATAATTCTTCGTTCTTCCGCATTATTAATAGCCCAAGCGAGTGGTTGATAAGACTACATAAGAAAATAAAATGTTCATGATACTCATGTATTATACCCACATTGCATTGTAAATCATATCGGACGAATTTATGATGAACTGTCCCTGCATCGTTAAACAGAACAGATGCAAGAACTGAAGAATCAGAAAGCTGACAAACTTATAGAAATCCAGACATATTTCCATCGTAGTGATCTAATTTCAAACAATCAATAGTTCACTGATGAATCATGGTCAATGACACAAAGATGATTAGAAGAAGCTTACCTGTACCATCGTAATACTAAGGCACAAGACTATTATACCCATACACAGAAGAAGGTATATAACATGTGCGCTCTCGATTTTTGTCAGAAACCTGGTAGCGAAGTAAAATTAAGAAAAACGTTTCTCGGCCGCAACAGAAATCCCCGAAAGAGAAGCGGAAAAATATATAATTAAAAGTGAGAACATAACAGCACGGGCTCAATAATAATTTCTGTTTATGTCGAACACCACGATCGCTAAATATTCAGAAGATTTATCTGATACTGAAGTTATAAAAAATATATATCAATTTCAATGTTGACAGTAGTTGAAAGTAATTGAAGATTGAAAAAGTAACCAATAGCAATTTCTGACATTGATAATGGTTACCAGTAACCAAAAATAATTAAATCATTTGTCATGGTTACTCGTAAAAAAATCATTGAAACTAAGATATGAATTCTTATCTTTTTTACTTAAGCATTCAAATTGTTTATAATCACTGGTTAATACTGACATTATTGCCCGTTGGTGTCCCTGTATAGAAAAACGTAGCCTTTTATTTATTTCCTTTGCCTCCTTTTCGGAATTCCTCGTATTGAAGGGAAAGTCATTGATGGCATTTTTGAAGCGATATCTAGAAATATTACAATTTATTCAATAAAACATGAAGTATGGAGGAAATTTTTCATTTGCTTACCCGGCCACTGTCAACAATCCGCATGCATGTTGCACAAGAACCATGTAACAAGTATCACAACCGACGAACACAATGACCACGATATATATAGAGAGGCCCAGATACATTTGAATGTAGTAATAATATTTGCGATCATCCTCGACAAAATAATAAGCTGGTATAGCGTATACCATTGGCAGCGATGTATTGTGTGGTTTTATCATGTGCATTAGGCGCACTGTCCACGGCAGTTGTAAGAAAAGGATTGCGCATATGCACGCGTTTACTAGAAGTAAATGGTTGTTATCTTAATTATTACATTACGGATATTTATGCAAATACATATTATTGCACATACATGCAAAAAGATGGAACCTAAGTAAAGATTTTTCCCACTCATGACATTGTATAACGAATGCTATATATCTTGGATATTTATTATTTTTTTGCATATTATGTGTATTTCGTCCATTTTCATACCTCCAAGTTTCTCATAAATGCACAAACATTCGTAGTCTATCAATTATATTACAAAATGTTAAATAATGAACCCTAGTATGGACAACCGAACCCCATTTTTAATTTTTTTATTTTCTAGTAAAAATATCACAAAATCACACCATATTTCCATTCATTGTGTACTTTTAAGTCACGAATGCAACAGTTTTCGATATTGACGTTTCAAATTTAGTTATGCATTTATTGAGTAATTTAAAATGAATTGTTGTATTTTGAATATCTACGTAAGCGTTAACTAAATCAGTGTATGTTGTGTACTAATGAAATTATCAATCAGAATTGCAACTGGCTTTTCTAGATATTGATTTACCAAGGTAGAACATCGCAAGAGTGGTTCCCCTACATGCGTATGTCGTCATAATGGCAACTTCTTCTTTCAATCGATCGATTGCCCAATCCTCGGACATGTCATTCAAAAGGGATTTAAGCTAGAATATTTATAAGGTTAATGTGAAAATTAAACGTATCTTGTAGTGATTAGCAAACATTTTCTTACCTTCTTTGCGTTCAGAATATAGTTACCATGTTTTACGACCATGACAACTCCTGTGCCGATTATAGACGATTGCTCTATCACGACTTTCAAAGTGCCTATATGTACAATTCTTGCTACCTAGAATTGAAGTCAATGGTCTATCCATAATTATTTAGAAATTTTACTTCTGCTCTCATCACTTAAAAGCCACAAGTAAAATTCTTCTCTAACTGGAGTGTTGATATTAAAACGAAATTTACAAGGTGTGAAATTTTAATAATGATAGCATTTAAAAGTTAATCATGTTTCCTGTTGAATTATCTAAAGACTGCGAGAATTTTTTACATAGACACGTAGATAAATTGGTAGACACGTACCTGTACAAAGACAAATGATGCCATAGTAATATGCACCATGGCCCACAAACTAAATTTAACTTTATTTTGATCTGGCCAAATTCCACTCAGTTTCCCGAATAATTTCGTTATCCTTAAGAATCGCTTCTCGAATGTAGCTCGATTCATGATAAGAAGCCCAATGTTAACCAACTGAACGCTTGACAATTTCGCACGTCAGTGTACGTCATTACTACTTCTGGATCTGGTTCTGTTAATGGAACCGTAAAGTACACATTAAAATTGTATTTACGGTAAAGTGCATCAATTTCAAAATTACTGTTAATCATATGTCACTAATGTAACGTATATGGTGCATGCGCATTAATATTTAATCATTGCACTTACGGAAGGAATCAGTTGTCCTTATTCTGCGTAGGTATTACTTATAGAATATGACAGGTGTTGGAAACGAGTGATATTTGCAGAATTATACATTGTCAACATGGAGTTTTACATATAATGTGAAAAGCAAACTAATATAATGTAGTAGGTTTGCAACAGAACAACGAAGTTAAGAAAATAAAGAAATAAGAAGAAGATAAAGATTTTTGAGTGTTTGATTATTCTTATAAAGTTAATAATCGTAATTCTATTTCACGTTAAAAATTCGTAATGTAATAAGTAAATTCGATAATGAACTCATGAATAACCATAATTATGTACATTTTATTGATGTAATGTGTAATGGATTATGTTTCGTCATGATCTACGTTTTCTACAATTACATGTAACAAATATTTTAATTAACTAACACGCGTATTGATATAATGATGACATATAATATATTGATATGAATCTCACACGAATTACGTAACTTGTTCTATTTCACATTATGCTTATTATACTCCATATTATTTATTAATTATTATAATGTTCACATTATCGCTATATTCCATATGAACAGTATCACTTAGTTTTCATTACCGTGTAATAAGAAACGGCTGCTTTGATGATCTGAAAACGAAAATTCCGCTCAAACAAAGTTGTGCGTTTAAAATGTTTAAAATCAACTTGGAATCAGATTGTTATACTACCTCTGCGAAAGATCGTAAATTTAATACTATTAAACCACCGGCTGTTAACAGAGGAGGGGATAGACAACTTCTTAACGCTAATATATATAACGCTCGAATTTTTGCTGGAAAAGTATACCATGGCGATTCATATCTATAAAGAACAATTTTATTCAATAAGAAGATAGAGAATCGGAAGATAAAAAAAATGAATTAGACTTGGAAACTGGTTCAAAACGTCAGATATTTTCAGTGTATTGAAGAAAATCACAGCCGCGATATGAAGATTTTAGGTATTCTTTTGAGAGAAAATAATATCGTAACCAAAAATTTCATTATGTTCAACATATTCGAGACAGGTGTATTTGGATATGATTATTTCCAGTGACCGAGTAGTTTTTGTATTTATAATCAGTATACGAATATGTACTCGTTTATAGGATATTTATAGATACAATTTACACACGTAATAACAGAAGTTATACAAAATATCCAAACTACAGCGTACATTGTAATATTTGGTAAGTGAAATAAATCTCCATTTAGGTCTCATTTTTTTAATCACTTTGATAAAGGTATGAATTTGCACAAACATCCAAGGTCTAGTTATAACTTGTATGTATCTATAAATTCCAGAAAAATTCAACTTTAAAAAATTTTTGGACCAATTGCTATTTTATGTTTTAGGAATAGATTATTTATCATGATATATATCAAAATAAATTCGTTTTACTTTTTTATTAATATTCATTCTTTACTCACATAGAGTTAAAAACACCGTCTAGTCCGTTTATTACAAATTGTCCTTGTCCAGTCAGAATAAGCGTGTGAAACAATTGAGCAAACAAAAATATACACTGAACTAGCCATGACTCATTCTTCTCATTTGCCACCTAAATTCGAGTAATTGATCAATCAATATGGAAAATATATATAAGATTAATAGTAACAACTGACATTATACCTGTAACAACGACACACAGATACACATTATCAGCATTCCCACAGAAATGAATAAATAAGTGTGATGATTGGTTTCAATTAGCTTCAGATATCTACGTTAAAGTGTGCAAATTAGTCTGTCAAAAAAATTCATAAAACAATATCATTTTTTTCACTAAATGAGCCATTACATAAAATGAGAAGCGAGTTTGCCTATGATATTTTAAACGAAGCAGATTTAGATGAAAACTTGTAGAATTTTAATTTAAAAAACGCTTTATTGCAAAAGTATTTCTCTTCTCGTTATATGATGTATTTACAGATCTTTGAGTGGTGATACTGACCTTAGAGCATGTTGATGTGCCTGAATCGATTTACACACGTTCCTATAATTGAATTTCGATAATTTTGTATCATTTTTATGGTGATCTAACACACCTTCGCTTACGTTTCTGAATCGATATCTATATAAATTGTTCATAATTATAATTTTTATTATATAATTATATACTATTGGCCTAAGGGTTAAAAGTAATCAAACAAATTTTATTCAGTAGTTTACATTATAAGGTACACACATATAATACATAAGAAGCAAGGTATCTATAACAAAATTATTAGAATACAAAGTCAACGAAGACGGTTCGATTTGTATTTTAAATATGATCAAGTATCCTAATACTTATAACCAACAGCGTGCATCATCACGGAAACAAACTAAATTTGCAAGAGTTTCTTACCTTGTGATGGCCAGCAGTCCACAAGCATGCTGCACTGCGTATACGTAATTCGCATCACATGCGCAATATACAAAACCGGTCATGCACATGACAATTATCATATGTATCGCTAAAATATCGTAGTATTTTTCGTGATCCACGAAATAATGAGCTGGGTATATGAACATGCGTTTTCGGGATTCGTTTAACGGCATAAGGATATCTAAAATAGGTGGTACAAGGGGCCACGAAATCATCAATATGCCAGTAATCAAAGCGTGTACTATAAATGGAAAACGTAAATGGTATCTATTACAAATAATGATCAGTATCGGGAATTACCAGAAATTTGAGCATTATATGAGAAACTTACAAGCATAGCTTAGCGTGAGAAGAAGTCCTCTTTGCGAATATGTGATCATAATGTCATTTTCTTCTTTCGATTTTATCGTTGCCCAGTCTGTGAATATGTGGTTCAGCATTGATCTCAACTAGAATTTCCCGATAAAGCTTGAATGTATTGAGAACGGAGTATACGTATCTTTCACAAATCTTAAAACATTCGCGGCTTATAATCTTACGAAAATCCTAAAGTAGAAAATCAGTTTTTGCAATTACGACAAGGACATGAGTTTGAAGAGTTCGTTGTCTATAGTCAAAAGTGACTGATATACTCGTCAACGCCTACACGAGAATTCAACGCGTATAAGACTGAGAAAGGGGTACATATATGTTTCTTTCTCGAAGGGTGATCGTATTTCTATATCAATTTGGCATTCAACAAACAAACTCCTTATTAAAAATAAATATACACTGAGCACCAACGAATTTTCGAAATTCAACTACTAAAGAGCGTTGAAGCGGAGGTTAATTAACATTAATTGTAGATTGTCTCAGATTCATTGACATTACATATACTTCAGCCATGATAAAAGCTTAATATCAGTGATCGTCAATGTGTTAATATAATGTTAAAACAATTCGAATTTTGAATAGATCGAGTAATTTCGTAAAACACTCTTACCTTCGTTTCGTTTATAAAGTAATTACCCATTTTCACAAACGTCCCAAGCACTAGTATATAATAAGGCATACTAGTCACAATTCCACGTATACTGGGGAAAAGTATAAGGTACGCGGTCTATAATTACAAACAATGCTTATAACGGTTATCCCCTTTTCATAAGTCTTTGTTACTAATTTTTCTTTTTAAAATCATTAAATAAAAATTTAACATTACAAGGATCGAATTAGAACTAACTAAACACCGATACCTGCGTAACGAAAGAAGTAAACAATATCGTAAGAGCAATGATTCTTTGTATTAATCTTGGGAAAGGTCTTTGATACGGCCAAACACTAGTTAGCACTCCAAACATTCTGTTGATTTTTAAAAATCTTTTCTCCATTGCCTCCACGTCCATTGAAATAATATAAAGAACGCGCAGAAAGAACGACTTTTCACGAGACAATAGTCTATCTTCAATGATCATATGATTTTTATCCCGTGCGGTGTTCTGTTGAATAATTTCTTAGACAGATACAAGCCACTATTATAAATTGTCATTGTCCTTATTAAGCGCTATCAATTTAATAGCTCTTCATGACTTATTTACTCTTTGCTTAAGAAAATTGCTCACGAACGGCTTTATTACGCGCAACTCAATGCCAAGTGCTTTCTTTCCATTTGGAGAACTACATATTTACGAGTGACTGAAAGCAACGGTCGTGCATAAAAGCTTATTGTTTTATTTAATATTAATCGCTGCTAGAGTAGCTACTGTCCTCAACATGCACAGAAAATTTAGTTTCAGTGGTAAAATTTGATTTGTCAAGTGATGTCTGTAATGAGGATGCTTGTGTATTACTCTTTTGATCGCATTTTTATTAAATTATTTGTGTATGAACAAATCTGCATTTTGCTTTCAGTGGAGTATTAGTCGTGAAACCTCATCCCCACTGAAGCAACATGTTACTGCACAGTTCTGTATATGTTACTAGTGTTACTGTATGTTCAAAACATCTCCAACAAACAGCAACTTATAGAAACATTCTTTGTACACTGAAGTAACATTGGAGCAACTTTTTCAAGGGAAAAATGTTTCTTTTTTTACTTTTTTTTACTATTACCTAAGTATTTAGATCTTAAAACAATTACTTGGAAAGATGTTTTAACTTTGATTTAGTAAAATTTATCTCACGGGAGAGAAGAGCTGGGAATAGTCTTGTGTCTTATGATAAAAACGATTTTTGTCGAATTTTTTAATTTTTTAGATAATAATTCATTCTAGAAGCTAGAAAGAAAATTTACAACGTGGTAAAATTGGTATTGTGAAAAATGTTCTATGTATTGATTTATCATTGAATAAAAATTAAACGACTTGACAGATGCAAATTTTATAAACAACATTCATTTTATAAATGTTTAGTAACTTAAGGTGCAATCAGTTACGTCAATAGCATGGCCACTAATACGAAGAATTTCCACATTTAATTTTCCTGAATCCACTCATGCTCATACTTGTATTAAATATCTTCTATAAATACTTTCAGATTTGCTTCAAACTTTACCAACGCAATCATGACATGCGAGTTCCACTACAGAGTCAATTTCAAGCACACAGAGTATAAATTCATTAAAGGGGTCTCGAATCCAATCTGTGTGAGATGCTGTAAGTAAAAACAAAACCATGTATTTTTAAATATTTATTTCTGTAATATCAGTTTATCATTCGTATTGATAAAACAATTACTCTCAATAACTTGTATACTGCGTACTGTGTAGTATAGAAAATTATATTTAAAGAAGTTACGATGTTGTTCTCAACACTGTATAATACGAAACGCATAGTTTCATCACCTGAAATACACCAATATTGTTCCAGCAAATGTGTCATAATTATACAAAATAACATTAGTGATACATTACTTCTGAAAAACTTTGCATGTTCAATTGTATTAAACCGCCGGCAGTTAAACGAGGTGGAGTTAGACTTCGTCGTAATGCTAACACGTAAAATGCTTGCATTTCTGGATTCGTATTATACCATTGTGCTTCGTATCTATGAATGTCATTATAATTTATAAATTTCATATACTTATATCGATCAAACAACCACTCGAATGAAGCGAAAATAAATTATTAAATAAATAAATTTTCTATTTACAAAAGCTAATGGCATACCAAAAGCATACGAATTGTACTTTAATCTTATTTCTCTCAAAAGTTACAAAATTCATTTGTTTTTCTGGATATTAATTAAATTTGATAATAAAATATTCTTTTTATAAAGGGCAATTCTAAAATCCACTGTAAGGGTCAATAAAAGAACTACTAAATTACATGAAATGCTTTAACCTACGTAGGGACATATGATCATAATTTTTCATTCTCTTGCATTATTATTGCATTCTCATGCAAGTGGTTGATAAAATTACAATATATGGAAGAATGTAATAGAAGAAAATAAAATTATACTCACATTATATTGTATAGTGTATTATACTCACATTGCATCGTAAATCTCATCGGACGAATTTATGATGAACTGTCCCTGCATCGTTAGACAGAACAGATGCAACAATTGAATAATCAGAAAGCCGATGAACTTGTAAAAATCCCAACAAGGATCCATCGTAGCGATCTAATCTCAAATAATTAATTGATAAGTCGCGTTCAACGATATGAAGTGGGTTACAAGAAACTTACCTCTACCATAGTAATACTAACACACAGGACTATTATACCCATACATATAAAAAGGTAAGTAACATGTGCGCTCTCGATATCCCGCAGAAACCTATTTGAGTAAAATCAAGGAAAATATTGCTCAGCCAGAACAGAAATCTCCAAAAAAGAAGCAGAGAAATACATGATTAAAAATCAAAATCTAATATCTCAGTCACGGATCAAGAGTAACACTCATTTCAAGTATTGTGACAAGGTCAATTTTTTGTTTAAATAAAGGTAATGACTGGCGATTCAAAAGATTTTTTAAAAAGAAAAATTATTTAAAAATATCTAGTAAAATTAAAAAAATGATATCATTAAGAATATAACATACAATTTATTAATATAATTATTGATAGAAGTAGAAAATATTACAATGTTGATGATGTTTGAAAGTAATCGAAAACAATTTCCATCATCGATAATGATTACCACTAACCCAAAATAGTTAAATCCTTTGTCATGGTTACGTAAAAAAGAATCATTGGAACTAAGATATGAATTCTTGTACCATAACTTTTTCACTTAAGCATTCAAAATTGTTTATAATCGCTGGTTAATACTGACATTATTGCCCGTTGGTGCCCCTGTATAGAGAAACGTAGTTTTTTATATATCTCCTTTGCCCCCTTTTCGGGATTCCTCGCATTGAAAGAAAGGTCATTGATGGCATTTTTGAAGCGATATCTAGAAATATTACAATTTATTCAATAAAATATGAAGTATGGAGGAAATTTTCGCTTTGCTTACCCGGCCACAGTTAGCAATGCGCACGCATGTTGCACAAGGACCATGTAACAAGTATCACAACCGACAAACACAATGAGAACGATATATACAGAGAGAGCCAGATACATTTGAATATAGTAATAATATTTGCGGTCATCCTCGACAAAATAGTAAGCTGGTATAGTGTATAATATTGGTGAGGATGTATTGTGTGGTTTTATCATGTGCACTAGGCGCACTGTCCATGGCATTTGTATAAAAAGGACTGTGCATATGCACGCGTTTACTGAAAGTAAATAGTTACTATCTTAATTGTTATATTACGTATGTTTATGGAAATACATATTATTGCAAACACATATAAAAAGTTGGAGACTAAGCAAAGATTTTTCTCACTCACTACATTGTATAACGAATGCTATATATCTTGGACATTTATTATTTTTTTTTTTTTTTTTTTTACATATTATGTCTATTTCGTTAATTTTCATACCTCTAAGTTTCCCATAAATGCACAAACATTCGCATTAATTATATTAAAAAATGTACGGTAATGAACCCTAGTGTGGACAACCGGTCCCTGTACTTAATTTTTCTATTTTCTAGTAAAAATATCACAAAATCACACCAGATTTCCATTCTTTGTGTACTTATACATCACGAATGCAACAGTTTTCCATATTGGTGTTTCAAATTTAGTTATGCATTTATTGAGTAATTTAGAATTAATTGTTGTATTTTGATTATTTACGTAAGCGTTAACTAGATCAGTCTATATTGTGTACTATTGATATTATCAACCAGAGTTGCAACCTGCTTTTCTATATATTGATTTACCAAAGTAGAACATCGCAAGAGTGGTTCCCCTATATGCGTATGTCGTCATAATGGCAAATTCTTCTTTCAATCGATCGGTTGCCCAATCCTCGGACATGTCATTCAAAAGGGATTTAAGCTATGATATTTATAAGGTTGGTGTGCAAATCAAAAATATCTTGTCATGATTGGCAAAAATTTTCTTACCTTCTTTGCGTTCAGGATATAGTTACCATGTTTTATGATCATGAGTATTATCGCGCCTATAAAGGAGGACTGCTCCAGTACGACTTCAAAAGTGCCTATATGTATAATTCTTGCTACCTAAAATTAATATTATGAGTCTTTCGTTAACTATTTATAATTTTTTTCTTTTATTTTATACCCTTAAAGGCTATTATCAACGAAATCACGATAATGCTCCTTACATTTTTTTATTTAGGAAATTATTATTTAAACTTGAAATCAGTGGGATGTTGATGTTAAAGCGAAATTCGCAAGATGTGAAATTTTATTGTGGCATTTACGAGTTAATTATGTCTTCCTTAAATTATCTAAGGATTTCGAAATCTTGGTTTTGAAATGGAAATTATTAGGAATATCTATGAATTTTATTTACATTTTATATTAGTTAAATCGAGACCGTAATGGAATGTGATCTGCAAGTACCGTAGAACGTTCCATTACAATGTCGTGATTTTTTGTGAAATATTGGTGGATATAAATTTATAGACACGTACCTGTACGATGACAGATGATACCATAGTAATATGCACCATAGCCCACAAAAGGAACTTAATTTTATTTTGACCTGGCCAAATCCCACTCAGTATCGCGAATATTTTCGTTATCTTTATGAACCGCTTCTCGATTGCAACTCTATTCATGATATGAACCCAATATTAACCAACCGAACGCTTGACAGTTCCGTACGTTAATGTACTTTTACTACTTCTAGATCTGGTTCTGTTAATGGAACCGTAAAGTATACATTAAAAGTGTATTTACGAGCATCAATTTCAAAATAGCTATTCGTATGCTATTAGCAAATTTTGCTAATGGCAAAATCGTATGCTATTAATGCAACGTATGTGCTGCATGCACATTATGAATATTGAATCATCATACTTGCTGGAGGAATCATTATATTGTCTGTTCTCATGTGTAAGTACACACATACATATGTATGCAATGTTACATGGGAACTACATTTATTCAGTCGTGAGCCGTAGTGTTAAGTGTGACATGAAAAAAATGATCTGTACATCTAGTAAGCTAAAAATAAAGTACGACAAGACGGGCCAACGAAAAAGATGGTATTGTGAGTATGTAATTATTTTCATAATCATGGATAAATTCGATAATAAATGGTTTAATAACTATGTTTCATTGGAGTTAGAAGTGATGCTTCTATTAATATCTATTATTTTTACAATTTCTGGTAATTGACTTTTATACAGGGTCTTTTATACGCGACTTTTATACGCGAAAAAATAAGTTTCTACGCGAAAATATAGAATAAAAATTTCTCGTTTGAGGCTTTGTTTTCGAGAAAATCGACTTTGAGTTTTCGCTCGGTACGCATGCACTTTATCACGTCTCGTTATAACGGATCTCACTGTAGATCGTTGTCCCGATGGAAAAATTAAAAAAGAAAAATTAAGAAAAAATTTTTATTCTATATTTTCGACTTCTTTTTTCACGTAGAATCACCCCCTTTTCGCTTGTACCATCAGTTACCAACCACCCTGTATAGTTCGAAATGAAGAATGCTTAAGCCTACATCGCTATAGTTCAGATAATAATATTTTATTTCTTTTGCGATTTAAACATTGGGAATTAAATGCTTTTAATATTTAATTAAAGACGTTTAGTTACTTACTTTGTATAAATAAAATAATATATTGACCGATTTGTTATCATCGAGCAGCTGAAAAATAAATTTCATTTCCGAATGTTTCAGAAATTTTATGAAAGTAAAGGAATTAAAATAAGGTCCGGTAATAATAAGACTTATTACCGGACCTTATTATTATCACATACATATGTCTGTCATAGCATCAATAACACTTAAGATATTTATATATTCGTTGTATCAAGAGAAGAGGAAAAGAGAAAATGAAAGAAGTAATGAGAAAAAATTATATTTTATAATATGTTCGAAGTGAAATGTTAACAGCAAGTAACTAACTCAAGTGAAACGTAAAATATACACTATACTAAAAATATTGTCAACATTTGAAGAAAGAATTTCACTTGAATGCATGTAACGATAAATTCGAACCATCCAATTCGCGCTGTTCTTTCTTCAATTTATGCAGATCTAAACACTGTATAATACGAGAAAGATGCTTTTAAAACCTGGAAAGATATTAATCGTTAATAAATAGTCAATTGTTTTTTGAAAACTGTTCTCATGTGTATTTCGTGGAAGTGATAAGCTAACCTGTACAAAGCTCTCCAAATTCAAAGAGATTACTCCTCCACCAGTTAGTTTAGGCGGGCTCAAACACTTTCGCAACACCAATAGATATAACGATTGCGTTTTCGACGATCCATTATACCATTTGGCTTCACATCTATACAATTGATTCTACCGTGAATTTAAGTCGGTCAAATTAAATTAAATAGCATTTTGACATTTTTTTTTCATTTACTTGATAATTTAAACCAATTATAACATTTTCTATGGAAGCAGAAAGTGCCTTAATACTTATAAATGGGAGTTTATATCGATCTTACATTGCCTGGAAGGTCTCATCATTGGAATTTATCAGAAACTGTCCCATTATCGTCAAAAACAAAAGATGAGTCATTTGGCTAAGAGTGAACGCGCAGAATGTGAAGTATCTGACTCCTATTTCCATCGTCGACAACTAATTACAGAGAATAATATCACATATTAAGTCACGGCAGCGTAAGTCTATAGTCACAGTGGATGCATATTTTGACAAACTATGTTGTACTAATAAATAGGCGCATCAAGACAATTGAGTATATATATAGTGGCTCACGAAATTATTAGAACATTTATTATAGAACATTTTGATGGATATGTTCGTGTTATATAAAATATTTTGAAATTTCAAGAGTACATACTGTAATGAAACATGGCTATCATATCGTGTCAGATTGATTTCAAACTTTCTCAATATAATGATGATTGTTGAGTCTTAGTGCTAATGAAATTTCAAAATATACATAATACGTTCATAATAGATGTCTAAAAGCAACTGAACACTTTCGTGGCTTTACGATACTTTCTGGTAGATTCTTATAATACTGATTACATTGCATGCTTCTCAGTTTTTAAATGTTTCATTCGTCAAAACATTATTTCGTTAGAAAACGCATCCACTGCAACCATAGCCTAAGTTGTCTCTGTAAATTAAATGTAAATTAAATGTGTATTGGTGAATTGAAACTTACCCGCACGAACGTGGATGTAAATGTTACGATTATCAGACCCAATATGATGAAGAAGTAGTGCACGTGGCAGGCGTCAACTTTATCCACATATCTAACATAACAAAAAGTATATAAAATTTGGCAAACGACTTTACGTGTATATTATATGAATATTGTACAATATGCAATAATACTAACTCAACGGCCTTTTTGTGAGCATCGATGGATCTGCTTATTTTCGCATGGGTTTCATCTAGTAACACGTCCAGGTACTTTTCATTGGAAAAGCTCACGTTATCCATTGCGTGCTTGAAACGATACCTGTGCTCATTGTTTCATTGGTTATAGTCAAAGTTTCGCTTATATATTATATAGGGCGTTTAAAAAAAGTGGGTAATATTTATATAGCGTGATTTTAGACATCAAGATAACGAAGAAAGTTCCTGTATACTCACGCACTGATGGCCAATAAGGCTCACCCATGATGTACAAAATGAACCAAATTAATGTCACAGGCAATATAAACGGCTGTGAACATTGATGCTCCTAACGTCGTACGTACTAGTATGGGATAGTAATACTGCTGTATGCTATAGTCGATAGAAGGACGAACATAAACGCATAAAAAGATATGTTAACTAAATGCAATAGGAATAAAATATGAAATAAAATACTAATTATTTACAGCAAACACATTTCACCAATTTATGTGACTTCGGAATATATTGTCCAATAATTTTAGTTTATTTCACATATTCGTAATGGTATTTTCAGTACTTATACATATATATGCTACATATCATATGCTATATATATATATATATATATATAAGAAGATACAAAAATATATAAAATAACAGGTTAATTTTATCCTATTTATTGAAAGATTTATTGAAAGGAGATCTCGGCTTTTGACCAGCTCAATAAATATCCATAGTGAGAATATATGTATACTGGTTAAACGTATTGTAATAGGTGAAATTATCTATGCGTTGCCCTCTTCATGCTACACCTGGGGCTATATCTGTACATTATCATGTAAGTAGCACCATAGGCGGGGTACGGTTTGTGCCGCAATAGCCAATTGTATTACCTATTACTGACGAGACTGTGTACCTTGTATTATACTGCATCGTTCGTGGAAACAGTTTTTTTTTCTGTAACAAAAGTTGATTTCATCAATATCCCGGCTACCACAGACAAAAAGCAGATCTGCTTCATTAGCGTATCCAGGCTGAAAAAACGCAGGACATTTCCCATTTACGATTAATAATTGATTAATTTAAGAAAAAGGGATTTTCGAACGAAATTTCTGTGTATTTAGGTTTCTTTACTTGCATTTCATTAAAATATGCATTTCCATGAATATTCACAGTCTAACGATAGCAGTTCTTAAATATATAATAAATACGATTAAAGATAAATTATTATTTACGTACCTGGGTAATAAGCAATAGCACAACAACGATATACATGTATAATCTTTTGCATGACGAGTTTTGAGAAGTTTCTCTGATCAGACCAAATTCCAGCCACCATAGAACATATCTTCACTACTTTCATGTACTCTTCTTCTACTGTGGTTTTGTCCATGGTAAGATGAAAAATGATGTAAAGATTACACGGCTGTATATAAGTCTTACACGTGAAAGGTAGTAGTCACATTGTTTCAATGGCTAATAACTACATGATATAATTATAACTATTATTAATAATTATATATTTCTTACTGTTGCTGATTATATCACATTAGGTGTATTTTACGTAACGACTGTAACTAATTGAATCTATTCAGATAAGTTAAGTCATAAATTTACATAATACTATAATAATTTACATAAATTTACAATAAATTACAATTTAAATGGAAGAACATCTTTATGCATATATGTAATATACTGTAATGTAATGCGACAAAATTGTCATAATAATAGCAGTAGGTATTTGAAACGAATCTAAAAATGTATATAGAAGTTACAAGACATTTACTGAAAATATATCTGCAATGAGAGATTAATATTCAACCTAAACATGTAACAAGTGTTAAATATGATGCTATTGAATATTGAGGCTTATTAATGCAATGGCTAACTCACTATTTAATACTATTGTGATCTCCACGAAATATATACTTGTACTAGACATTTGTAACTTTCATACATATTTTCAGGTTCATCCGCTTTCAAACTTTATAAAACTAATCATGATTGTGAAGTTTCATTTCAGTTTATTTAAACAATTCTAATGAATTTTCAAAATATATTCATAAATAGTATGTACAAGCATTTCGGTACTTTTCTCAGTCTATGCAAATTCTTAAGAAAGTGATTACGTTGCATGCATTTTGATGTTCCGATGATGTAATCGTTATTGTGGTATTTCGTCAGAAAACGCATAACCCACTGTTGATAACTCGAAAAATAAATCAATTATAAATAATGCCCACTTTTTTACCACCCTGTGTAACATAAAAGGCGCGGAATCTGCACAATAGGAACCGAAGTATACTCACCCACTAATGGCCAACAAGGCGCAACCATGATGCACGACATGAACCAAATTGATGTCACAGGCTATATAAACGCTTGTGAGTATTACCGCCACGCTTATCATATGCACAAGTATGGGATAGTAATACTGCTGCTCATCCACGAAATAATAGGATGGGTAGATGAATTCGCGACTTCGTGACTCGTTCAGGGGTGCGACGACGTTCAGGATAGGTGGTATAGTCGGTAGAAGGACGAACATAAACGCACAAAAAGATATGCTAACTACATGCAATAGGAATAAAATATAAAACAAAATTGTAATTATTTACAACAGACGCATCTCATCAATTTAAGATTGAGATATATTGTCAAATAATTTCACGTATAATCCCACTCATACTACTATGATTTAAGATAAGCTTGTAGTGGGTTTGGTTTAGGTTTTATTTCGATTAAATTTGTAAAAACGGCATTGACATGTGCCTCCTTATACGCGATTATTAATAATAAAATAGAAAAAGTAAATATATGAACATTGTTCAAAGAATGTATATTTTCATTGAACAATGATGATTTGTGTTAACAATATCAACTGAATAATTATTAAGGCCTTCGTTATTGACTATCCCTGTGGTATTTGATTCTGTAATGTAAAGATCTGTACATTTCCTTTGTCACCTTGGTATAAACAGGAAAGAAATGTTGCCTTCTTGGAGTAGATATCCAAAATCTCTAATTCCTCCTTCGGTCGTTCTATTAGCCGGTCGGCCACAATATCGTTTAGAAGTCCTTTCAACTATAATTTTAAAGATATTTATAATTATCAGAGAGATTACTGGATGTTTATCGGTCTTTCACCTTCTTTTCGTTCAGAACGTAATTGTACTGCTTGATTAAAATGACGAATCCTATATCGAGATACGGCATCTGATCCGACAATACCTCCAAACTATAAAATACTACTACCCGTGATATCTATAATGCATAGAAAACACACTTCTATTATATATTGACATGCGAATTCTCTGTGATATGGGAAAATACTATATTTGAAAGTTACGAATGAAAAACATGAAACGTCACACTTCCCATTTTTTATAATGATTTCGAGATAGGTGTTTTAATACTTTCCCCCATATTTCTAGCACCATATTTTTGCTAAACTTCAAATAATCATTATATAATATTTTTTGTTCAATTATATTCATTATATCTGTTAAATACTCGTACACTAACAAAGTTTGACTCCTCATGTTTTTATATTAAATTCTTACTAATGGTTATCAGCAAAAAAAATATATCAGATGATTTTGAATGAATGAAAAACACATAGACTGGATGCAAGTCCCATATGATAACATAACTACAAAAAATACCTGAGCTGTAATTGTGGTAATAATAATAATAAATATGACAAATCGTATAATAATTTTCGTGAATTTTTCTTGATTAGGCCACACACCAACAAGCTGACCGAAAAATTTGTTGGCTTTCAGACACTGATCCTCGATCGTTTGCCAATCCATAGTCGTTCAAACAAGAATCTGCATTATATCGCTGAAGATCGTAAGATATAAAATTCGTTAAATTAATCCAAAATTTAATTATATGGTTTGATTACTGGCTAGAATTAGTAGACTGCGAATTGTTATACATTTATACAAAATTTAAAGCAGAAGTGTAGGAAATGCATAAAAGTATAAATACAATATATACATATAAGAAGATACAGAAATATATACAATAACAGGATCAGAACACTAATTTTCAGTAACACTATTATTTAGTAAATGAAAATGATTAAATATTATTCTTTAGTTATGTTTATAAAAATATAAATTCGCATAAATGTCTACAACCTTAAGAATTACTTAAAATAAATTGAAATGCAATTAATATTCGCGTGGCCAACTTCAATAATTCTCTTGATTTGTTTATTTAATCCTGAATAATGGTTTATCAACAGTATTCATGTCCGCCACTGTTCAAACTGTAGTGGTCGATTAGGACAAGTTCAAACCTGTATATCCTCCATAACGTCAATAACGTAGTAATTTTATTATTATTTTACTCAATTGTACTCGCTTTTAGAAGAAATTTCCGGTTTGACTAATTTATACGGAAAATAGAATGATTTCGTGCCGGGTAATAACAATTTTAAAGACCTCCTCTTTTCCGCTTACTTTGTCCATGAAAAAGCTTCAACGTTTCAATGTGAAAGAGGTTTGGTTACAACTTAATGTAATTTAATTCGCCATAGTCCTAGGATATTGAAGAGAATAATTTATATGCAATAAGTAGATAAGTGGGTCTATATAAGGGATATGAAAAATTAATGATTGCATGCATTGATTTCCAGTGCGCTTCAGAATATGACAGGGTTGGTGTTTCACATAACGCACGGACTATTTTTTAGCAACAGCAATCAACTAACGTTTTCTTTTCCAATTTTATGTAGCGTACGTTTCTCGGTCAAAATCGTGCTTGGTGTACAAAAAAAATTCTAGAAAATATAAAACCTCGTGTTATATCTCTTATTGAAACGTGTATATGTGTAATAGACTTGAAATAATGATATGTTATTCTATAAATTGAGATTAATTAATATAAATTGATGATAAGTACTGATATATTGATTAAATATATTCCAATGTATGTAATTATGTACGTGTTGCCCTCTTCACATTCCACCTGGAACTACATCTTTGTATTATCATGTAAGTAACCAGAAATATGTAGATAAATTGAAACATTTCCAACATTCTGCAAAAGATCATTAATGGATTAAATTGGTCAAATAATATATTATTTTGTATTCGTTATATTCTGTGTATAGTTAAAGTGCTTTTAAAACGATCGTGAAGTTTTCTGTGATACTTCACGGCAAATGACGAATATCAGGATTAAATTCAATTAAGGATTCAATAATGTGTTAAATTTCGTATTAGGATGGTCCTCAGCTATGGAGGTCAAACATTTCTTTTGAATGTACTTTAATGTATCTGCACAAATTGTCACATTTGATGGGTTATATATAAGCGAACATGAGGTCATTCCATATAAAACAAGTAAGAAAAATATAAACTTTTTTGTCCAAGGGATAGTTTTTCAGAAAACTAAATTTAGTCATCAAGTATATTTGAACATGGTTAATTTCAAGACTGGATAGGACTAAATAACTGCGTGAATGTAATTCTAGACGCAAAAATGAGTAAAAAATATAGAATAAAATTCTACCATTTAAGGTTTCATTTTCAAGAAAATAAAATTTTAATATGTTTAATTATGAGGTGTCTGGTACATGCGCATAATACATTTTCAAACTTTCCTTGAAAATGAAACATCTTATGCAGAAATTTCATTGAGAAAAGAAAATGTAGTTTAAACACCTGTCGATTATTTACTTTTGTTTAGTCCGGAATTAATCAACTGAAAGTATACTTGTCAAATCTTCAAAGACCATTTTCTTGAAAGCGAAGCCTCAGAACAAAATAATTTCATTTTATATTTTGTTTTATTTTTTCATAAGAAATCACCTCGTGTTCACTTGTACATAAGTTTCAGACACACCAGTTATATTACATATGTATATAAATGTATATTATAAATATTATATACTATGTAAAAATATGTGTGTGTATAATATTTACATAAATATTATTATACATTTAAAACATTGTACTTTTATTCAAAAACATTTATTAATACTTTCCAAATAGCGGGCAAGATTACGTTCGAATTTCATGCGAGACCATCAAAATTTGAAAACTTCCACTCAAATGCGACACAGGTTCTCATTATCTAATCATTCTGAAATTTTGCACATATCACTTCTTTCTAAAATTCATTGCCATATTCTAGGGGGATAGAAGCAAAAATAAATTAGTGGTTGAGAAGTAAGCACCATTATATTTCTGTACATATTGTATCATATATTGATCTTCGTTCGTTCCGGAATATTGTTTTTCATCGTCTCAGTCAGGAGTACTTTACGATTCACGTAGATTTCAATACGGTAAAGTATGAAACAGATGCTTTTATAATCTGGAAGGCATGATATTACGTAAATTTATTTAAAAAAGGTATTCTTAAAACTTGCCTCTGCAAAATTCTTCAAATTCAGGTCTAAAAGTCCCCCAGCTGATAGAATTGGAGGACTCAAACAGCTTCTAATGGATAACACGAACAACAATTGCGTTTTTCTATTAGCATTATACCACGATGCGTCGTATCTGTGAATTTATTTAAAAAATAGTGCACACGTTAATGATAATGGACAACTTAATTCAGTTCTTATGATATAGCATTAATAACACAAAGACAAATGAAGAAACCTTATAAGTTTGACACATGGACATCTCATTTGTTCGATACTGTAATAAAAATTCATTCCAAGACAATCTTATTACCATTCTTTTAATTTAGAAATGAATATAAAATGAAAGTACTTAGCGCTACGTATATTAAACAATATTTATGCATCACTTACATCGATTCGATAATTTCATCGTTCGAGTTCAGTACGAATTGTCCTTGCACAGTTAAAAGAAGCATATGTATCAATTGGGACAAAAGAAAAACACTGTCCTTGATGAGCACTCCAGAAATTTCCGACTGTGATGCAACCTGTTTTGAAGCATAGTAACTTCGACTGTTGCGAAACAGTACGAGATTAGACCGAAAAGCTTACCTTTACCAATGAGACTGTGAAAGATGCCATTGACATACCGATGCAAATGCAAAGATAGACGGAATGACTGGTTTGAATACTCTTCAGGTAACTGCTTTGATGGCATCAAAACAGGACCAACAGATCGTTGTCCATAGAAAGTTCAATAGTATACATACATATGTGATACACGGAAATAAACGCATTTAAATCTCACAAAATTATATAAACTATTCTTGATATTGTTTGAGAAATTTCAAGAACACTTATTAGCTAATTATTATTCTATAGCACAGTAAATGTTCAATTAATGAAAAGAAGTCATCAGCAATCAAAATTACACATATGCCATTTGAATTATATATTTTTGTGAAACAAACAAAATTATTTATTCCTATCAACATTGATATCAAACGGTAGGGCACACCCTTTTTTCAAAAACAGTTGTTTTTAATGTTTTTGGAGAAAAGTAAGCTAAATACATGAAATAAGCTAACAAGAGAATGGCGGCAACTAATGTTTTTCTAATTTCAGTACTGACTTTGTAGCATATTGGTGTTCTCGAATCGAATGAAGCACTCTCTCATAACTCTTATCCTGCATTCCACTCTTTTCATTGTCGATAGACAAATCTGAAAGCGCATTCTTGAAACGATGTCTGTGGAAAAATTTAATACCTGTTGCAGTTTCAAGTTAAACGAAGATTATTTAATCCAACTGATATTTCATTTTATTACCCAGCCACCGCTAACTGCCCACAGGCGTGTTGCACCATATATATATAACTCGCATCACAGCCGACATACACAAAAAATGTTGATATAACCGTATATATCATATGAAAACTTATAAACATACGGTACTTCCGATCATCGATATAATAATAAGCTGGATAAATGTATATTAAATCTCGCGTTTCGTTGTTCGGTGAAATTATGTCTAAAATATATGGCGATAGAGATAGTTGAATAAAACTTATGGAACAGAAAACGCCAAGTCCTGTAAATCGATTGCAACGGTGTATAAAATGAATCACGGAAGGGAAGTACGAGTTTTCAATATGATTTATCCTACCGCAGTACAACCGAGAAAAAAAGGCTCCCCTTTTGGCGTACTCGACCATAATGTCAGATTCATCAATCCGTCTATTGGCTGACCAATCCTTCCAAATAGCAGTAAGCAGCATCTTGTACTACAATTTGATTAGTATCGTGCAACCAAAAGATATATATAAATACATGAAGAATACAATAAGTCGTATTTGTCGTCTTTTCTAGTTCCGCTATTTTGATTCTTATCAAAAACTATTATCAAGAGAGAGGGATGTTAAGTAAGTTCATTATTGTCGACAATTAAAATAAATAATTAATATTTAAATTCTAGATCTTCTTTTCATTTGGAAATTAATTATGTCAGGCGAGTGCGATTATAATTTAGGCAATCATAGAAAATATACTGTTTGCAGTGATCATAAATAATGTAACAAAATTAATAATACGGAGCGAATTTAAAACAAAATTGAAATAGATGAAACTTTGGGTTTCAAAATACAGTTCCAAATGATTTTAAATTTTTAAATATGCCTTTTATTATAGTCCTGACCATTTAAAAGATACGTTAGTAATATTTGTTATACAGACTTATTTTAATTACGTCAAACTATCTGCTTTTCGAGTCAATTATTTCGGTCGGCAAAACACGTGCAAATACACCACGAAGCTAAAACGCCGATCACAAGTCAATACTGGGCATAAACGTTATCATAAAAACCGAGCAAATATTCTTCGTTTCGTATGAAACATTGCAGATTTATCTCCATTAGTATAAAAAGGCATATAATTTCAAACCTGCCAGGTTTATTCCATCTAACATAAGAGTCACAAAATCAAAAATATCGACTTATGATATCGTTCATTGTGGGTTTCATATAATGTGTAACACAAAAATAATAGAAAATGGAAAGTGATACGAGAAATTCCTTTACCTCCGCCATGTTTACAATATAATTCCCTTGCTTTATCAATACTGCAGCTACCGCATTAAAAAAACAGACCTGCTCTACTACGGTCTGTAGACTGTAGAAACACACAACGTTTGCCATCTATAATCAACGATAGAGTAATTTAAAAAAAAAAAGAATTCTCATATTAGTACATAATACCATAATTACATCAAGCATTAAAAAGATTTGAAGTTTTGTGAAATATTCGACAAAGATCACAATGGTCGTGTGTGATTTCAAATATATAGGCTGAGGCGGTAATCGTAATACAATCGGGGAGGCGGCGGTTCTGTGAAAAATAAGAACAAAAATCTGATATAACATTACTTCCCCTGAACCTTCATTTTCGAGAAAATCGACATTAAAGATCTGACAAGTGCATTTTATCTTGGCTGAACAAGAGCAAATAACCGAAAGTGGTAAAACTCATATTTGGAAGCAAATAAAAAATATAGAATAAAATTTTTTAATAAATTGTTTCATTTCCTAATGCACGTGTTCCAGATCATTTTGTAATTAAACACTTTTAAACTTCATTTTCTTGAAAAGGATACCTGAAACGAAAAAATGTTCTTTCACATTTTCAACTTATTTTCACATGTATGACAATCTCCTGTTGATTATTTACCTATATCTAGTCTGTAATTAGCCAAGTTGAAGTATGCTTTACATATTTTCAAATTCAGCTTTCTTAGCGACGAAGCATCAAATGAAAAAATTTTATTTTATATTCGGATTTTTTCACCACAGTTGAATCGCCACTTATTCGATTGTGATACGATTACCAAGTTGCCTATAAATTAATGTTCTTGTACCTGCGTAACAAGCGATAGCACAACGACGATGTATATAATCGTTCGCATAACGAGTTTCGAAAATTTACTCTGATCAGGCCAAATTCCGCCCATCATAGTACATATCTTCACTACTTTCATGTACTCGTTTACTACTGTGGCTTTGTCCATAGTAAGGAGAAAACTGATATTGAGAGTGCACGGCAGTATATGCGATTGACACTTGATGAGTGACAGTGAAGTTTGTTGAGTGTCTGGGATTGGCCATTATGCTTTTACTTTATTTCTACCATGTAATATTTACACGAATAGTGCAACTAAGTAATGCGTACCTGCTGTCATTTCGATTGTCGTAAACCAAAGTGGTGATTTAATCATTTATTCGCCCTTGTTAATTTATACCCTTAAAGTACCTTTGATAAAGATGTGTAAGTAACTCGATCGAAGTATTAGCTCGTTGTTATCGTGTGTTCTTTACACTGTGACTACTTGCACGCGGAGAACCATCTTGAAACATCAAATATCCTCTCGAAAGAATCGATCGATTGACAAATTGCTAGTAACGAATAATTTACGACATAACTACTTTGGATGTCTTGAATAAATTTGATATAAGAGAGCTTGGTATAGAATAGTTGGGTGAAACAGACAGCTCCAGATCGAACAGATCTGTACGAACTTTTATCTGGTTATAATTCTCTTCAAACTGTGAATATTCAAAATATACCATGCCTCTGTGTAAGAAAGAGTCGTGTGTTTTATGCGCGTTTAAGCTGACTTGCTTCATCAGTCCTGGTTGCAAATTCATTTTTTGTAACAGTAATAAGAAGCACCGGACAATGTGTGTTAATAGTTCAACTTCTGCTCATGATAAACAGTTGTATATTTTTTACTATTACCAATATCACATTAATGGTCTTGTTGAAATATCCATAATTGACGTGAATTGTATAAGTATGTCAAATCAGACGTAATGTTATAATTTTAACTAATATATGTGGGAAATACCTTTGCATACATTGTACGTTATGTAGAAGATTTTAAAATTCTGTTATGCTATTACAATAGCCAATTTTCATACGGCATTGATAATTTTGTACAAGAAACGATATTGTATATTTTTTTAGAGAATGTATATTTTATCCTAAAACAACACGTTTCCTTTATCACATAATCATAGGTACAGTTCTACTTTTCATGCACTGTGAAACAGCACATGCGATCTTGCTTTTACAGATCAGGTAGCTAACTCAGACGCTGCGTTATATCCCAAGCATAATGTTAAGCAAAACTAAACAATTTTGTATATGTATATTTTTGGAAGAAAAACGTACGTGTTATTAATATAAATATAGAAAATTGCACATTGATTTAAAATTATTTACCAATATTTCCAAGATATCGAATTATTATTATGCTCGTAATAGATGTGAAATTATAATTTAGTGAAAATTTAATAGTGATAATTTAGTTAAGATAAAATAGTTATAATTTAGTAAAATTTAATAATAAAGTAGTGAAAATTTAAACTCAAATGCGGCACGGGTTCTCGTTGTCTAATCATTTAGAAATTCTGCACGTACCACTTCTTCATCAAATTCATTGCCATAACCTAGGAGAATGAAACCAAAAATAAATTAGTAGTTGAGAAGCAAGCACTATTCCATGTCAGTACATATTTTATTATATATTGATATTCGTTCGTTCCGGAATTGTTTTTCGTCGCTTCAGTCAGAGGTAGATTACAGTTTACGTAGATTTCAACACGGTAAAGTATGAAACAGATGCTTTTATAATCTGGAAGGCATGATATTACGTGGATTTATTTAAAAAAGGTATTCTTAAAACTTGAACAATAATTGTGGATTCAAGGAGGAATAGATACTTGCCTCTGCAAAATTTTTCAAATTCAGGTCTAAAAGTCCCCCAGCTGATAGTATTGGAGGACTCAAACAGCTTCTGATGGATAACACGAACAACAATTGCGTTTTTCTATTAGCATTATACCACGATGCGTCGTATCTGTGAATTTTAAATTTATTAAAAAAAATGGGGCATCCGTTAATGATAATGAACAACTAAATTCAGTTCTTATGATATAGCATTAATAACACAAAGACAAATGAAGAAACCTTATAAGTTTGACATATGGACATCTCATTTGTTCGATACTATAATAAAAATTCATTCCAAGACAATCTTATTACCATTCTTTTAATTTAGAAATGAATATAAAAATGAAAGTACTTAGCGCTACGTATATTAAACAATATTTATGCATTACTTACATCGATTCGATAATTTCATCGTTCGAATTCAGTACGAATTGTCCTTGCACAGTTAAAAGAAGTATATGTATCAATTGGGATAAAAGAAAAACACTGTCCTTGATAAGCACTCCAGAAATTTCCGACTGTGATGCAACCTGTTTTGAAGCACGGTAATTTCGACTGTTGCGAAACAGTATGTGATTAGACGAAAAGCTTACCTTTACCAATGAGACTGTGAAAGATGCCATTGACATACCGATGCAAATGCAAAGATAGACGGAATGACTGGTTTGAATACTCTTCAGGTAACTGCTTTGATGGCATCAAAACAGGACCAACAGATCGTTGTCCATAGAAAGTTCAATAGTATACATACATATGTGATACACGGAAATAAACGCATTTAAATCTCACAAAATTATATAAACTATTCTTGATATTGTTTGAGAAATTTCAAGAACACTTATTAGCTAATTATTATTCTATAGCACAGTAAATGTTCAATTAATGAAAAGAAGTCATCAGCAATCAAAATTACACATATGCCATTTGAATTATATATTTTTGTGAAACAAACAAAATTATTTATTCCTATCAACATTGACATCAAGCGGTAGGGCACACCCTTTTTTCAAAAACATAGTTGTTTTTTATGTCTTTGGAGAAAAGTAAGCTAAATGCATGAAATAAGCTACCAAGAGAAAGGTGGCGACCAATGTTTTTCTAATTTCAGTACTGACTTTGTAGCATATTGGTGTTCTCGAATCGAATGAAGCACTCTCTCATAACTCTTATCCTGCATTCCACCCTTTTCAGTGTCGACAGATAAATCTGAAAGCGCATTCTTGAAACGATGTCTGTGAAAAAATTTATACTTGTTGCAGTTTCAAGTTAAACGAAGATTATTTAATCCAACTGATATTTCATTTTATTACCCAGCCACCGCTAACTGCCCACAGGCGTGTTGCACCATATATATATAACTCGAATCACAGCCGACAAACACAAAAAATGTTGATACAATCGTATATGTCATATGAAAACTTATAAACATACGGTACTTCCGATCATCGATATAATAATAAGCTGGATAAATGTATATTAAATCTCGCGTTTCGTTGTTCGGTGAAATTATGTCTAGAATATATGGCGATAGAGATAGTTGAATAAAACTTATGCAACAGAAAACGCCAAGTCCTGTAATTCGATTGTAACGGTGTATAAAATGAATCACGGAAGGGACTCGAGTTTTCAATATGATTTATCCTACCGCAGTACAACCGAGAAAAAAGGGCTCCCCTTTTGGCGTACTCGACCATAATTTCAAATTCATCAGTCAGTCTATCGGTTGACCAATCTTCCCAAATAGCGGTAAGCAGCATCTTGTACTGCAATTAGATCAGTAGCGTGCAAAAGATATATATATATATAAATACATGAAGAATACGATAAGTCGTATTTGTCGTCTTTTCTAATTCTGCTATTTTGGTTCTTAAAACTATTATCAAGAGAGAGGGATGTTAAGTAAATTCATTATTGCTGACATATTTGCATTCTAGATATTTTTTACTTCTAAATTAATTACGTCATGCGAGTGCGACTACAAGTTAGACATGCATAGAAATGTTACTTTTTGCAGTGATCTAGAGAAACTACTACGGAAAACTAATACGGAAAAATATTAAAATAAAATTGAAATGGATGTAACTTTGCGGTTCAAAGTACAATCCCAAATGATTCTCAATTTTAAATACGTCTTTTGTTATAGTCCTGACCATTTAAAAGATACATTAGTAATATTTGTTATACAGACTTATTTTAATTACGTCAAACTATCTGCTTCTCGAGTCAATTTTGTTAGTCGGCAAATCACGTGTAAATATCCCAAGTAGCTGAAACACCGATCGCAGTCAACACTGGGCATAAACGCTATCATAAAAGCCGGACAAATATTATTCGTTTCTTATGAAACATTGTGGATCTATTTCCATTACTTTCGAAAGGCATATAATTTTAATTCTATGAGGTTTATTCCCATTTGTAAATATTTCATGCCAGATTATTTTTTTATAACATCCAATAACATGAGAATCAGATGATCAAAGATATCGACTTATCATATCTTCCATTGTCATTTTTATATAATGTATAACACAAAAATAGAAAATGGAAAGTTATATGAGAAATTCCGTTACCTCCGCCGCGTTCACAATATAATTCCCTTGCTTTAGCAGTGCCCCAGCCATCGCATTAAAAAAACAGACCTGCTCTACTACGGTCTGTAGACTGTAGAAACACACGACGTTTGCCATCTACAACCAACGATCGAGTAATTTAATGAAAAAGGAATACTCATAGTAGTACATAATGGCATAATTACATCAAGCATTAAACAGATTTGAAGTTTTGTGAAATATTCGACAAAGATCACAATGGTCGTGTGTGATTTCAAATATATAGGCTGAGGCAGTAAACATAGTACAACCGGCCAGACGGCGATTCTATGTGAAATATGAGAACAAAAATCTGATATAACATTACTTCCCCTGAACCTTCGTTTTCGAAAAAATCGATGTTAAAGATTTGGCAAGTATGCTTTATCTTGACTGAACAAGAGCAAATAATTGAATGTGATTAAGTTCGTATTTGAAAATAAATAAAAAATATACAATAAAATTTTTTCATAAATTGTTTCATTTCCTAAAACGATAATTTAGAATATGTGTGATACACGTGTCCCAAATTCGTATTTACACATATTTAAACTTCATTGTCAAAATGATACCTTAAATGAAAAAGTGTTCTTTCACATTTTCACCTTATTTTCACATGTATGACAATCTCCTGCTGATTATTTACCTATATCTAGTACGTAATTAGTCAAGTTGAAGTATGCTTCACAAATTTTCAAACTCAGCTTTTTCAGCAACAAAGCGTTAAATGAAACAATTTTATTTTATATGCGAATTTCTTCACGTGGAATCATCACTTACACGGTTGTAATATGATTACCAGGTTGCCATTACATTAATGTTCTTGTACCTGCGTAACAAGCGATAGCACAATGATGATGTATACAATCGTTCGCATAACGAGTTTCGAATATTTACTCTGATCAGGCCAAATTCCGCCCATCGTAGTACATATCTTTACTACTTTCATGTACTCGTTTACTACTGTGGCTTTGTCCATAGTAAAGAGAAAACTGATATTAAGAGTGCAGGGCAGTATATGCGATTGACACTTGATGAGTGACAGTGAAGTTTGTTGAGTGTCTGGGATTGGCCATTATGCTTTCACTTTATTTCTACCATGTAATATTTACACGAATAGTGCAACTAAGTAATGCGTACCTGCTGTCATTTCGATTGTCGTAAACCAAAGTGGTGATTTAATCATTTATTCGCCCTTGTTAATTTATACCCTTAAAGTACCTTTGATGAAGATGTGTAAGTAACTCGATAGAAGTATTAGCTCGTTGTTATCGTGTGTTCCTTACACTGTGACTACTTGCACGCGGAGAACCATCTTGAAACATCAAATATCCTCTCGAAAGAACCGATCGATTGATAAATTGCTAGTAACGAATAATTTAAGACATAACTACTTTGGATGCCTTGAATAAATTTGATATTAGAGAGCTTGGTATAGAATAGTTGGGTGAAACAGACAGTTCCTATCCGAAACGGCTAAGCGAAATAGAAAGATAAATGATTGTTGAAGATCGAACAGATCTGTATGAACTTTTATCTGGTTATAATTCTCTTCAAACTATGAATAAGCAAAATATAGTTTGTCTCTGTGTAAGAAAGTGTCGTGTGTTTCGTGCACGTTTAAGCTGATTTGTTTCGCCAATTCTGGTCGCAAATTAATTTTTTGTGACAGTAATAATAAGCGTTGGCCGATATGTGTTTATAATTCAACTTTTTCCCATGACAAACAGTTATGTATTTTTTGCTATTACTAATATCACATTACATTGATTTGTTGAAAAATCCATAATTGACGTGAATTGTTTATGTAGCTCAAATCAGACGTAATGTTAGAATTTATACTAATATATGAGGTAAATACTTTTGCATACATTGTACGTTATGTAAAATATTTTAAAATTCAGTTATGCTATCACAACTGTCCTACTTTCCATACACTGTAAAACAGCACACGCTAAATGTATCATTAGTAAAAATATTTGATTAAATAATTTGAGTATCATCATGTTCCAACAGGTGTATTACATCAAAGTTTCTTATTTCCATCTTTCTATGTTCAATCCCTCTTTGAATGCAGTTTAGCCATATGAACACGTCGAAATCTCAACTAAAAATGAAACAGACGCTTGCAGTTACTAGCAAGATACAAATAATGGCTACCTTTATTACAATACTTGTGACAGAAGGGAATTCATATGTAAAAGTCTGTAAGATTCGCTAAATGAATTGCTGGCTTTTGGAAATCAAGAAGGTGACTCAAACCGAACATTTTCATATGTATCTTTAGAAGTAATATATACGCATTGCTAGTATAGATCTTAGACATTGTGCTTTTATTTTAAAACATTCCTTAATATTTCCAAAACAACGAAACACGATTATGCTCATAACTAATGCGAAAACATTAAAACTTGAAAACTTCAACTTATATGTGGTATAGATTCCTGTTGTCTAATCACTCTGAAATTTAGCATAAATTATTTTCTCACCAAGCATCACTAAGTGGGGATAAAACCAAAAAATGGTTAGTAGTTTAAAAATAAGAATAACTGTAATTATTTTCGTATTTTATCCACTAATCTTTGTTCTGGAGTATTGTTTTTCATTGCCTCTGTCGGGAGTATTTTACGGTTTACATAGATTTCAATACGGTAAAGTATGAAACAGATGTTTTTATAATCTGAAAAACATACTGTAGTGTATATTTATTTAAAAAAAATATTCTTGAAGTATTTCCACATTAATTTGTGGTTAAATAAAAAATTACTTACCTCTGAGAAGCTCTTCAAATCCAAGATAATTAATCCAGCAGCTGATAAAGTGGGAGGATTTAAGCAATTTCTTAGTACTAATACAAACAATAGTTTCGTTTTATTATTAGAATTATACCATAACGCGTCATATCTGTAAACGGTGTTAATTTAGTAAAAAAGGTTTCATATAAGATGATGATAATAAATGATTTACATCAGTTCATACTTTTAGCATCAATCACACAACAGAAATAAAGGAACCTTACATGTTATGTATGTTATGTATGTAATTGTAATAAAATTTAATTTCCGAACAAAAACCAAAGTACTTTGAGCAAAGTATATTTCTAAGTATTTATAAGTTACTTACATCGATTCGGTAACTTCATCGTTCGCATTCTGTACGAATTGTCCTTGTACCGTTAATAGAAATATGTGTGTCAATTGAGATGAGAGAAATACAACGTCCTTGATAGACTCCGCAGAAATTTCTGATTGTGCTGCAACCTGTTTTGAAGCACGGTAATTACAATTACTGTCAAACTGTGTGAATTTGCACGTTAAAGAGCTCACCTTTACTAACGTGACGCTGAAAGTTGCCATTACCAAACCGATGCAAATGCAAAGATAAGTAGAATGAATGCTTTGAATAGTTTTCAGGTAACTGTTTTGGAACCATTAAAACAGAATTAAGAGGTCATAGTCGATAAAAGATTCAGTAATGCACATACAGGGTGACAGATTTTATTCTATAAATTCAAATTACTAGTACACTATGAATTGTATGAAAAAGTAGTTCAGATATGTAGTGAATTTTTTTGAGGGGGTGACAAATGAGGTGAGTAAGAATTTTTTTGTAGACGTGTCATATGAAGGTGACATCAATTCTTTTAAGTGGAATTGCATATTTTCTAATGTACTAATCGATGCAGCTCGTCATTCTCTACAAAATTGTATGAAGTTATTTATATCGAAAAGTCACATTAGTTTAGGAGATATTTTAGCTTTAATTTGTCGCATTTAGCGTATGAAGGATAACGTAAACGCAAAAATATCTAATCGCGTCTTTCATTGTCTTTTATACGTTAAATTTGATAAATTGAAGTTAAAATATTTGCAAATCCCTATGCTTTCTCGGTATAAGTATGTTAATACAATTGTCTAGAAAATAATAGACTGCACCGTTTAATGCATTAAAGAATATACAATCCTAATTAGCAAAACGGTTGTTATCTTTATATGAAGTCTACGTGTTCATCTACAAAATATTCTTACACCAGGTTGTAACCTTCCTAAAAAATGTTTACTTCTTATCTGAACAATTTTCGTATACAACACACAATGTACAAGTAATGTGCATTAGTAGAATAAGTCCGGTCACCTTGTACATAATGCACGCAAGTACATGCATTAAATTACTTTAAAAGTATTTAGGATATTCTTGACATTGTTTGAGAATTTTAAAGAATACATTAGCTAATTGTTTCGCTACAGCACAGTAAAATTCAATTAATGAAAAGAAATCACTGTCACTGCTTATTAACAATTTAGAAGAAGTATATGGTGTTTGAGTTACACATTTTTGTAAAAAAAAACTTTTTACGCCTAACAAAATTATCTTTAAACGGTGATGCACCTTATTTTGTTAAAAAATAAGATTATTGAAAATATATTTGAAGTTTAAAAATAAGTTTAAAAATACTGGAAAATGAATGTTTTGCCAGTTTCAGTACTGACTCTATAGCATGTTGGTGTTGTCGAATCGAACGAAGTACTCTTTCATGAATCTCATCCTGTATGGCACTCGTTTTATTGACAATAGACAAATCAAAAATCGCATTCTTGAAACGATGTCTGCAAAAAGTTTGTGTTTCCTGCAGTTTCCAGCTAAAATTATTTGGTCCAAGTAATATTTCTTTTTTTACCCAGCCACTGCTAATTGTCCACAGGCGTGTTGCACAATGCACATGTAACTTGTATCGCAACCAATATACACAATAATTCCTAAAATATATGTATACGCCATATGTAAATTTATAATTGCACGATACTTCCGGTCATCGATATAATAATAAGCTGGATAAATGTATATTAAATCCCGCGTTTCGTTCATTGGTGAAATTATGTCCAAAACTAATGGCGTTAACAATAACTGTAAGAAAACTAAGATACAGACAACACCAATTCCTGTAAATTAATTACAGCGACACGTGAAGTGAATTATAAAATGAAAACACATCATTTCAGTATAACTCATCCTACCACAGTCTAACCAAGAAAGGAGTGCTCCCTTTTTGGCGTACTCGGCCATAATGTGAAATTCGTTACTGTGACTATCGGTTGACCAATCCTTCCAAATAGCGGTAAGTAACATCTTGTACTGCAATTTGATCAGTCTCATGTAACCGAAAGATATGTACGAAGGTACGAAAACACAATAAATCGCATTTCTCATCTTTTCTGGTACAGGAATATTTTTGCTAGCACACATTAACGATATGCAGACTTGTTAATTGTGTCCAAATTGTGTTATTCTCTTCTTACAGAATATTTTGAATTCATCACCATCATTTTCAAAAAGCTTTTAATTTACGAATCTATCGAGTTTCTACATTTTTACAAATATTTCATACCAGAATAGTTCTTTGTAGCTTTTCAATGACGTAAGAGTCAGTATCTCAATAAAAGTGGACTTATCAAATTTTTCCACGTGATTTTTATACAGAATGTGATAGAAATATAATGGAAAATGAAGCAAGAAATTTCTTTACCTCAGCAGCTTTGATAATGTACAGTCCTTCTTTCAACAATACCCCGCTTAACGCAGTGAGAAAACAAATCTGGTTTAGTAGGACGCTCATGTTAAAGAAATGCACGACGTTTGCGATCTACAATCAACATTCGATTAATTTAACATATAAAGAATTGCGAATCAATATATAATGCCATTAAAAAGTTAAAAAAGCTGTGACTTTGCGATATAGCGAAGTGTCGCATATTTTTACTTCGCTATTCCATAAATTTTCACCGACACTTGGTAAAAATTCGTTGATTAAAGGTCGGTTATTGTTCGTTTTCAGTAAAGTTATATTCCAAAGAGTTTTTAGATGAAGAGCGAATTCAAATGCTCAGCACCTAACGCAATGTTGCCCTCGAACAATCAATAATATAGTTATGATATCTCAAAATTCTCAACGAAAATGTAGTTTGTAAATATAATTTTGATGTGAGGTGTAAATGTTGTCCGTGATCATTGTATCGATGGCTGTAGATGCCGCTGCTGAGGTACTGCTGCTTTTTCTTCTGATTTAGATGCGTGGAAGAAAATTCCGCTCGCCGGAATTTGAGAACCCAGGTTCCGAACGTTCGTAACCTAAGGCGCTAACCACTGCGCTGCCGTTGTCCGATATTAGTTAGTGTCGAGTGATGGTATTTGTGCTGTCGAGTGCCGCCACAGATGCTTTTAGTTGAGAATTTTGAAATATTGATAATATATATTGATAGTCGCAGAGTACTCTAATGGTTCTCTATACTTCGTAATACCCATGTTGAGCTAGTAGAACCACCCTAATAGTTACTATCCACCAATGATCAGATTCTTTACCCCGCTCATGGGCATATCACGCTACGGACGAACCTGGAGGGTGCGACTAAGGGTTGATCGTCTGCATAGGTGAAGCGGCGATTGCAGTATACTTCTATTGAGTACAAGAAAACATTGTGTTTCTACTGATAGTATAGTAGTCGCGCTTTGACAATCGTATTGCTAAGATATGCTACACGAGGAGATTCCAATAGCGGTGTGTTGTGAGTGCTTGTGTTATTAGAGTCAGTGGCTAATATAAGCCAGATTGAGTAGGCTTATCACTTGGCAAGTGTATTGCCAAAATGTCATAAACTGAAAACTTTCAACTTAGAATTACTTGAAGTGCAAACAAATGCAAGTATGTAAACAGGAAGAGGGCAACGATAGTTAAAATTCAGCGAACCTAATGGAAATTGATAAACCATCAGCTAATGGTTCTTAATCAACATTAAGCACGAAACGTAAAATTTCACTATTTATAAAAGGAATTACAAACGCCTCAAATGCAATAACAGATGAAGGTAAATGGTTACCAGAAATACCAAAATTCTTTCACTTTACTTCCAGAAATTACAAACGAACCTCTTCAAAAAACTGCAACAAATTTATTCAATTGAAGCCTCCTCTAATCTACATAGATGCCAATTATTATTAAGCCTCTATTAGATCTTCTAGAATCAATTACTCAAGACGCGAGCCAATGCTATTGATTGTTATGGCAAAATTGTCTTAGTCAAATGTTCCTTAGGACAAATTGTAAAAATTATTGGAGATAAAAGAAGACAGTATAGAGATAGATAAACAGAAGACACCTAGTCTGTCGGAACACAACCTACCCTTGTATATGTATATGGTTAAATATAAAAACTCCGCTTTTATGGCCTTATACCTGCATCACGGAGTATAAGAAATTTAATCATATCTCATTACTGAGTTCGATTACTAACAGCAAAATATCTCGACTAACAAATTGACTTGTTACACGCAGTTACATACGTCATCGATTACAAGGTCATAATAGATATACAAATCACAATATAATTCCTACTTTACGGATAAAAAGCTATACCGGACTTCTATCTGCCACAAATGCGCGACAGGCTAATTTTCAATGTTCAATGCACGCGATCAGATGCTTTCCTACATATTTTCGTATGCAGGCTGAGTCACCTAAGAGTGGGAGATCTAAAATATCTTCGAAACTGTTAATTATATCGAGAAATGTTTCAAATAAAAGTTGAATGGCTCCGAGGGAGACATTAATTGATGTAATTAGTATTTTTGTAGGTGACATTTGAAGGTCTCTCGTCGATCATTAGTTGTCTGTCTTCTTTCGATCATCACTCGTCTGACACTCTTAATCATTCGTCTTTGATTAGTTAGTCTTCATCGTTATGTACCATTAGTCAACAACATAATCTATTTGTTTGTTGAAATACATAGTTTTAATCTCCAACACGGAGTGGTCCTTTGAGCTAATTTTATTAGTCGGTACAGCATATTCAAACGCCCACCGATTCCGAACGATCATACAGGTCAATCACAGAGAATAAACAATCACAAAACAATAAAAAATGATTACTGTACAATACAATACGGATGTTATATTAATTAGTGTAGCAGAAAAAATACTGGTAAACCAAGACGGTTAGTATAGATTGTTGGTTATAAATTGTTTTACGTACCTGCGTAACAAACGATAGTACACTAATGATGTATATAATCGTTCGCATGACGAGCTTCGAAAACTTACTCTGGTCAGGCCAAATTCCGATAATCATAGTGCATATCTTCACTACTTTCATATACTCGTCTACTACCGTGGCTTTGTCCATTGTAAAGAGAAAACTGATGACGTTAATAGTACACGCTAGTATATAAGACTGACATTTAATGAACGAAAGTGAAATTTGTTGAGTGTCCAGGATCGGCCACTATACTTCTACTTCATTTAAGCTATGTAATATTTACACGAAGAATGCGACTAAGTACTCTATATCTGCTGCCATTGCGACCGTCATAAACCAAAGTGGTCTTTAATCATTCATTCACCCCTGTTAAGTTTGTACCCTTAAAATACCTTTTATGACGATGTACAAGTAAGCTGTTGATCAAATTTAGCTCGATATTAATGTGCGTTCTTGTCGCTGTGTTTTTCCTCTGAAAAAATCATGTCGAATCATTAGCAAGTATAATTAATTTAAGATATAGCTTTAGATATTTCCACTAAAAATAGCTTAAAAAAGGTAACTTGGAAAAGGGTGGTTGGGTGTATAGACAAGTCTGTATAAAAGAATAAAGAATAGTTAAATATTAATTAACACTTTCGCTGCCACACCTCTCACATATGTGACGCTCTATTGCTTTCCACAGCCCCAGGCGTTACGCATATGTATGTGACGCATTCTGAGTGCAGCATAGATTGTCTGGTTACCATTTTCTATTATTATATACGTAAAAATATATATCATATTACGCAATATGTTGAAAATTTGGAATTTGGACTGTAGATTTTTTCCTTAAACAATGGTAACAAAAAGGTTAAAAAGATCTATACGGATCTTGATCTCGTTATTTTCTTCATTAAGGTACGATTAAACGAAAGATATTTTGTCTATAGATCCCCCGTCTATCTTCTCCTTGAGAAAATACCCTGAGTTACGTAAACATTTAAGCTACCACGGATCAGATTCCAGGTTGAAATTTCGCATTAAATTAATGGACGTCCGATAATACGCACGTGAACAATTCACTTTCCTCTCATGATTAATAATTCTATACCTTTTACTGCTACTAGTGATATCACATTACTTATACTTTAAAAAACAACCATAACTTATTGAATTGTTCAGATAAGTCAAGTCATAAATAATATCACAATTTACATTGAAATAGATCTCTGCGTATGTATTGTACACGTTACGTAAAACATGTTGAAATTTCATTAGTATCACAATGAGATACGATTGTCGTGGCAATATTGATATTTGAAATGAATTTGAAAATTTATATAGAAATCATAAGATATTTAGTGCAAATATACATTTAATATATATTTAAGAAGAGATTCGTATGCAGAGTGAATAACGTATCTTAAACGTATAACAAATGTTAAATATATTGTTATTGAACGTTAGAGCTTATTAATAATATAATAAATAACAGTTCATATATTTTTCTGACCTGTGTGAAATATACGCTTGTACTAGACATCTTGTAATTTCTAAACATATTTTGAAATTCATGAGATTTCAAGCTTCACTCGTATAATCGCAATTGTGAAATCTTATTAACAATGCTAATGAATTTTCCATATACAAGTATATTCATAAGAAATGTTTACAAATGTTTGGGCGCTTTCTTCACGAACTTATAGAAATTCTTATGAGAGTGATTACATTGCATGCATTTTGATCTTCAGATGTTTCATTCATCATTATGGTATTCCATGAGAATACGTATCCACTGTAACCAATCATATACATGTATAGCTTAGAAAATAAACCGGAAACGACATTTTTCTGCAGAAACTTTCTTCATTGTGCTGATGTCTAAAATCACATGCTATAAATATTGGCCACATTTTTTAATATAAAAGGCGAAGAATGTGCAATGTGCGCGCAAGAACTAAGATATACTCACCCACTGATAGCCAGCAGAGCACAACCATGCTGAACGAAGAGAATTAAACTGATGTCACAGGCAATATAAACAGCTACAATTATTGACATCGATGTTATCATATGCGCTACTATAACATAATAATATCGCTCTTCGTCCACGAAGTAATAAGCTGGGTAGATAAATTCGCGGCTCCGTGACTCGTTCAAGGGCGCGACGATGTTCAGAATAGGTGATATAACCGGTATGAGGGCGAACATAATGGCGGTGACAAATGTGCTGACTAAATGCAAAAGGAATAAAATACAAAATAAAATAGCAATTATTTACGGCAGATACACCTTATCAATTGATGTAAACTTGGGATTTGTTGTCAAGTAACTGCACTTCATATTCATATATGTATTATATATTCATGTATATTTCATGTATATGTATGTATATTCATTTCATATATTCGCATAAGCAGTTTTAGTGTTGCGCGAGTATATCATACTGTTATGTCTTGAAATGAATTTAAAGTAGGTTTGAATTAGTTTTTTTAATTAAGTTTTGTGCAATGTGAAAATTAGTTCATTTTCTTTGTCACCTTTGTATATAAAGGACAAGATCATTGCCTTCTGAGAGTACATGTCCAAAATCTCTAATTCCTTCGTTGGTCGTTCTATCAAACGTTCGGCGATGATATCGCTTAAAAGTTCTTTCAACTACAATTTTAAAGATGCTTATAATCATCAAAGAGATTACAGAATGTCGATCTGTCTTTCACCTTCTTCTCGTTCAGAATGTAATTGTACTGCTTGAGAACAAGTATTAATGTTACATCCAAATGCGGCATTTGTTCTAACAGTATGTCCAAGCTGTAAAACACTAGTACCCGTGATATCTACAATATATAGAAAATATTTACATTACATATTTACATATACAGGGTGGTTGGTAACTGGTGGTACAAGCGGAAAGGGGGTGATTCTACACGAAAAAAGAAGTCGAAAATATAGAATAAAAATTTTTCGTTCGAGGCTTTGTTTTCGAGGAATTCGACTTTGAATTTTCGCTCGGTACGCGTGCGGTACGTTATAACGGATCTCACTGTAGATCGTTGTCTCCATGGAAAAATTTAAAAAGAAAAAGGAAAAAATTAAAAAAAAATTTTTATTCTATATTTTCGACTTCTTTTTTTGCGTAGAATCACCCGCCTTCCGCTTGTGCCACTAGTTACCAACCACCCTGTATAATCTCTATATCCTATCATATCGAAAGATTCTATTATATAAAAGCGTGAAAAATGTGAAAAACATGATATCATATTTCCCGTCTTTTGCAAAAGTTTAAATAAGAACTTTAAAATTCAACATGCTGTCAACCAATATCGCACTAAAACTATTTTCATATCTGAAAACCATTTCGCATATAGCTTTGTGATCTATGTATATGTATTATATGTATTAAATACACTGACACAGTCTAATTCTTAACCTCTGGAATACATTTTACAGATACTGTGTCTCCGACCAGTATAACACATTTTTATATTAATACCGTTAATGGTTACAAGCAAAATGGTTCTAGGAAATAAAACTCGATTGTTAGATATTTTTTATAAATGAGATGCGTATAGGCTGGATATAATATTAATTAATGAAAACAATACCTGAGTTGCAAGACAGGCAATAACCACAACCAATGTGACAAGTCGCATTGTAATTTTCGGGAATTCTTCCTGATAAGGCCACACACCAACAAGCTGTCCGAAAAATTTGACGGTTTTAAAATATTGAAACTTGTTCGTTTGCCAATCCATGGTCGTTCAGCCAATAATCAGTATTGCATACGTCGCTAGAGATCGTGAGATATAAAATTCGTTAGATTGGACTAAAATTGAATTATACGACTTGATTACTGACTAGAATTAATAGCCTAAGCGTTAATTTCAAGCAAAAATCCGTAGAATGTATAAGAGAATGTACATATAAGAAGATACTAGAATATGTAAAATAACGAGAGTAAAATACTCGTTATAATATTTAATAAATGGAATAAAATTGATCAAGTACTGTTCACCAGTATCATATTTATGAAAATGTAGATTCAAATGAATCTCTACAATTTAAGAGTTACATTAAATGAACAGAAATGCAGCTAATACCCTCCACTGTCCAAACTGCAATAATCGAGTAGGCCAAGTTCAAACGTGTATATCCTCCATTACATCAATAACAATAGCAAGTTTGTGATCGTTTTAAGAAATTGCACTCGCTTTTAGCGATCTGATTAATTTATACGGGAAATGGAATTATTTTAGAGGCGAAACGCATCTGCATTTTCTCATTCACTGTATCCATGCTATCACTAATACTTCTATGCGAAAAAAGTTTATTAATTTAAAGGTAATTTAATTTAACATGGTACTAGTGTACATAGTAAGTACATAAACGTTGAAGAGAATAATTTATATGTAATATGTTGGTAAGTGCGCCTATATAGAGAATATGAAAAATTAATGGTGGAGCTACATTCCTTTTGGTATCGGCACCATATTGTAAGCTGGTATACCACAGGTGATATTTCACATAACGGATGAATCGTTTGATACAAGCGATACCTACCAATCAATATTTTCTTTTCCAATTTCACGAGGCATAAATCATTTGATTATAAATTTCTCATGCGTGAAGTATGGAAAAATATCCTATAGAATAAATAAGTTGATTTTCATTCAAGTTTATGATATGTATTATTTTGTTCAACGAGAAAAGTTAGCAAAGTTAAACAGAGCGATCACGTACTAAGCATGTAACAGACGCAAGAAACGCTGGTTATTGGCTGACGGATGTTCGACTTCTCGGGATTATGGCACGAGAGATGGCAGTGCCAAGTAAATACATTACGCAGTATGGACATGAACCTACGTTTGTTTTTAACATTCGAAAAAAAGATCGTACTTTGAACAAGGTATTTTCATTGATTTATCAAATACAATTTCACAATCGATACGTCGAGTAGTCCTAGATAAATGCTCTGTTGTTTTCGTATAAAAAGAATTTTCCATCGGCGTAATATTTTCAGTAGCTTTTTTCTTTGCATGTTACCGCCGCTCCATTTTAGTTTTCGGGATTATTCTAAGTGACCGTTCGTTCCTCTGCTTTTCTATTGATCTATAAAGAATACAAGAATTAATTGAACATATCTCCAAATTACAAAAAATACCTTCTTCATCGCTATCTTCATCACTGCTCTTTCCTCCTCTCTATCATCAAATGCTTTATGGCAGTAGTTTTGAGTATTCTTCGAACTGTTATGGAGTTTTTTTCCGAGTTAGATTTGTTTCTTACTATTTCACCCATTTCTGAGGATGTAATTTTTGGTTCTTTGTTCATTATATTGACTATTTTTTTGTCTCGGCCTGTAAGGTCCTGAGGATATCTGTTTCACGTGTCATTTGTCAGATCTTTTTTGCCATGAAATCATTCAATCACACCACTCACGGTAAAACGACTTCTGTCGTTTTATTTACTAATTATTATGTGGTAATAATTATTATGTAGTAAGTACGGATACACGCACTTTCTATATTGAGTTTTACTCAACAATTTGTGACATTTCATTTTAAACGATTAAACTAAACAAATGAACAACGTAACGTACGAACGTAATTTTCTAATTACTACCTAATGACAAAATCCGCAACTACCTAGTTCCCAACCCAATAGATCGATTCCGATTGTAAGTACGACTTAGTTATAATTTCTATCGTTCCAGTAGCGCTGCTATCTTATTCTATACTGAACCGATAATGTCGGATGTAACACCTAAATGGTGTGGCGGGCTACGTTAGTTTACGCACCGTGGGACACTATTCTATTGCATGCAAAACCTATCTTATTCTTAGTCAATGATATTACGAAGATTTATGATAGAGATTTAATAAAAAGAAAATGTACAAATATATCCCTGTAATCACGTGTAATGTATAACTAGAGAGATATTTTTACCACAGATTTTTACTCTTGTTGACTTTACGATACTCGTCTGTAGCTTTACCAACTATATTAGTTGGATTGAATTAATTGCGCCGCTCACCGCTGTAAATCGCAGAGGGCGTAAGAAACACTGAGTTTTTGCACGATCGGTATTTCAGAACACGGAACACGAAGTCCCATAAGATGCAAGGTTTGTTCTGTATATGTATATATGATCGTCTGCTATAGAATATATGTAAATCGATTCCAATTGTAATTATATCGATCATTGATTCAAGTATAATTTATACCGTTCCAGTAACGCAAGTATTTTATTTTACCCTGAACCGATAATGTCGCATTAGACATTAAAATAGTATTATATGAAGGTATACGGAGGGTTACGTAGCTTTCAAGCTATGCAACGCTTATTTACATTGCAGGCAATATCTATGTTATTCTTAATCACTGCGAAATCACAGACGAGATATTCTCGTCCGCAATCAAAGATATCGTTCTTAGCACGATTACATGAACAGGTTTTAATATTCGTATATCGAAGTATAGGGAAAACCATTCGAAAATTGAGTCACGAAAAATCAATATGGAAGACAAGAAGGTTCTCGTTCTATGCATGCGTGGCATGCTATGAATGTGTCAAACAGAAACGGAGACACTCCGTTCATCTCTGTCTGTCTCGCAGAACGAGAACCTTCTTGGCCTCCATGTTGATTTTCCATGACTCAATTTTCGAGCGATTGTCCCTAGCAAGTGTTGAGTCCTGTTTATGCGATCGTGGTCCTTAGTCAATGCCAGGTCGTATTTGTAAAATAATGTATTATTTTATTAGTCATTTCCTGCGTTTAGGCAAAAAGCTTTTAAAGAAAGCATAGAGACAGGTTTACGATACCTCACTACAGATGGCAGCACATACATACCAGCGCTAAATTCAAAAATAAAATCCTAAATTGTGTCGTATTTTTGTTTTTCCAATTTTCAAATGTTTAAATATCATTTCAATAGTAACGCTGAATGAATAAAAGACGAACTATTATATATAGATCAGAGTCATGTCTGCCGTGATGAATACAGACACCAGCGGCACTACAGATAAGCTTGAAAATATGTAGCATGATTTGTTTGTTTGTTTTATTAGTTCTTATATAATACCTTCTTGTTGACTCAAATTCGAATCGTTTCCTCGTTTTTTATATTACCTCTTGCTGTACCTCGTAAAATATACAACATTTTATATTCTTTCGTTATTATATTAAATACTAATTACGTCTCGTATAATATACAAGTTTGATTATTCTGTACGAAATTAAAGATTGAACTTTAAAATATTCAGACTTGACTATTTCAGCTATGTGCCCGTACCTTATTATGTATGTATGTATATAGATTCTTATGAAACGTCTATTTCGAACTCCAAATATTTCATTTGCCCGCTGTATATACACATTTTAACCATATTCTTAATACAAGCAACGACTGCTTATTTTCTATAGGCTCTAAACATTAATTCACCACACTCGTTTTAACGAGTATTCCCAGCTATGAAGTCCTCTCTTTTTCTAACAAGTATCTTCTGTTTCTTCTTTTTCAGTGGAAGGAACGTTCCCTCGCAAAGATATTGCAAGTGCGTAGCCATGATCGTTGTCGTACGTGTTAGCTTTGCTACAATAGAGTGGAAGATACGTACTAATTGGATGCAGCCTTTTAGGCCGCTGCCACGGAGCAACGGGGGTTGGTTTAGATTGGAAGAGTAACGACATAGACTGTAGCTGCTGCTACTGACTACTACGACAGATCAAGTTACACAAAGGCAGCTTTTTTAATTGGATAACGTCATATCGGCGCGTTCGCGCGCGTATCCTAACTTTTTTTCCCATCGATTTACTCGGTTTGCCAGCGGCCACCTATGGAACGACTATATCCTCCCCATAGAAAATCGAACGAATTCCTCTGGCTGCGCTGTCAAGCCGAGGAAAACGTCGGATCCGTTGTTGGCCTGCCACCGATACACACATCGTGTGTGAACTCGTTAGCCGTTTCGACATAGAGTTTCCGTGACTGACGAAAAAAAAAAAAAAACGAGATGTGCCCTCTCTTTGGCCTGTGTCGCGCGTCGAGCTGCGCGAGAGACCACTTATCAAATAACGCGATTGTACTTTCAATTTTCAATTAGTCGTGGTGCCTAGCGAGTCTGTCAACGGCTAACTTCCCGCTTGTCGTCACCGGTCACTATTCAACACTTTGACTATTTTTGGTTTCCTGCCGGTAGTAATAACAGGCGATAAGCAACAGCTGGAGACCGCTTTACGTCTTTGTTTCTCTTTTTCATACTTATTCCAAATATAGATACCATCTGTTATCTTGCGTATTTTATAATTTTCGATACTTTGGTTCGTATGCATGATTCGCAGTAATAAGCAAAAGTGAACGCACGCTTTGTACGACAGAACAACTTTTCTTGGAGAAGTTAGAAGTTAGAATTTACAATTTGTCGGAATCGCGAATAAGGAAGTAAAGGTCACTTTTTACAATTTTTTTACCTGACCCTGTAATGAGAACTGAAATAACACATTTTCTAGAGTTCTGTCAGTTATATATGTACGTGCTGAAAATTGTATCGAAATCAGTTGATACGGAAACAAGCGACAGACATCGAAAGATGTAAGAATCTGTACATGTTAGCCCGAATATCGCGAAACTGCGATTTTTACTATTTTTAATCATTTGTTGTTCATAGTAACGTTCATCGATTTCGAGGAAAATTTCAGCATGTACGCATAGAAAATAAGTGTGAAATCCACCGCAACGTAATTCTAAACCTCATTGAGCACGATTTTCATTGCAACGTAATATATTCATCAGGAAGAACGAAAGTCTCGAAAAAACCATGGATCGCAAATACCCTGCCTCCACCCCACCCCTTGAAAAAGAATGTTAAAATTTTAATAATTCTTAAACTGGTTTTATTCACAATGTGTTTACATTTATGATCAACTTTAATGAGAAAGTAGCGTGCTATTTTACGAAGCAACAGGATATTAAAAATTGCCTCGTGAAATATATGAGAACACAAGAATAATGGCAGATCTCTGTGTGCAGAAGACATTCCGCAACAATGCGATTTTCAAACGGCCGCATTAACAATTTGACTATCAAGAATTAATATCGCGACATCTGAATGCAGGTCGAGTCCTTATCAATTGGCGTGAAGAAGAACAGGTTAATTATCACCTTCGCTCGTGCTGATCCACTATTAGACTTACATAAAACAGTTCGCCGAGTGAAAATCAATCAGATGACAGTGCGATGAATAATTCGAGAAGAACGCTTACTACTATATAAAATTTCTTTTACTTTTTCACTTTTCCAAGCGTGTATTATTTACGGATGAAAGCAGTTTCTCAAGTTGTAGTATCCTCAATCGACAAAATATCAGGATTTAAGTTTATAGGAATTCCCATGCAACGGTTGAAAGATCTAATCAAGGAGAATCGTATTATTGGTTGTATCCTTCTGGCTATATCGATAACAAGTGCAATATATTTGCGATTCGATTTTCATGCTCACGTCTCTTAAGCAAATTACGTGAAATTATACCACGCCAGGGTAGTCACTTCGTCTATTTTATGCACGATGGTGCTCCATCTAACCATAGCCAACTGGTTCGCCAATTTTTAAACGAAAATTTTGGGTTACCGTGAATAGCAAGTGGACCTGCTCCTCACATTTCTTCTTCCACTTTTCTTCCACATTCAATCTCCTTGTTTATGAGATTCGTCGGCGGTCCTTTTGGGGGGAGAAGAAATTATTACTGTATTATTATTGTAGTTCAAGTGAACAGATTACATGTGATTGCATGTGACTTTTTTCATACAAAATCAATACGTAATCTTGGGGAGTAACTTGGCGGAAATGTAGAAATGCGAGTTCAGGGCTATTTAAATAGACGGAAAGGAAAAAGAAAAGAAGAAGAAAGGAGAAAGATAAAAAGGTGTGGGGTATATAATGGTGGATCTGAGGCATCTACGTGCAATAGTAAGAGCTATTTTCCCTGCATCTGTCTGCAGCATGTAAACACATTGTACATAAAACCAGTTTAGGAATTATTAAAACTTTAACATCTCTTCCGAGAGGGGTCACGTGCGACCAGTGGCCCCTTTGAGACTTTTGTTCCTCGTGACGAGTAGAATACACGTGGAATAAAAAAATGTTGACCCTGAAAATCATGCTCGAGGTCGCTTTTTACACCTCTTTTTACACTTATTTTTTTGTACGCACTGTACACATATAACTGACATAAATCTACAAAATGTGTTGTATAAATTTTCATTATAAACTTAGATAAAAAAGTTGAAGAAAGTGATCTTTCGCTTTATTCCACGTGATTTCGAGTAATTGCACTTAGAAAACTAATTTGCATCTAGTGAAGTAATCCAAAGAATATCAAGTCGTTTGGTTCAATTTTAGAAAAGTGTTTCTGTTTTAAAGGCTGTCCGAATGTTCACGATTGTTACAATCGTGAATATAAAAGTGACACATGAAATTAACAAATAAAAGATTGAAAAAGAATGAGAGAAAAGACTACCGAATAGAACAGCTTTCAAAGAACATTTCTTCGATTAAACAAATTTGAAAATTGTTGAAAGCTACCGATCGTACGAGTCTCTGGAATATAAAGAAACCATTTTATTTTGAATAAATAAATGAAGACCGAAGGACCCATTTTCAGTACTTCGCTATTTTACCACCAAGCAACTGAAATCTAAGCCATGCCACCACTAATTATATGTTTCCCAATACGTATATTTCACCAATAGCCTCATAACGTGCTAATAAATTTCAAAATGTTTCGTATAACGCGCATAACGTATTCATAAAAGGCGTCTGCAGGTATTCGAATAGCTTTTTGAGCCAGTGCATGTACGTGTATGACATACTGTACTTATAAAAGTGACAATTCTGCGCATAGTTCTATTTCGATGACGAAGAGCAGTAAAATCGTATATCTTATAGGTCGAACAAAATCAGCTGATTTACAAAATCAGTCGAATTACGAGTAGATAGTTACGTTTGAAGAAACGGTTGTCGTTTCCAATAATGGTGGGCACCGGCTAATTTACTAATGTAAAGCCATCCGTTTTCACGCTCTCCCCTCAAACTTCGCCGTTTATCTCCCTTTTGATTCCACCCCGTTTCATCCCAACTATGTCTCTCACAAGCATCAATTTCGTTTTCCTTCGCCTTTCTTTCTTTCTCCTTTGTGGCCTTTATGCGATCCTGCGATCATCCGCCTTTGCCAACGCGTTATCTATCCTCTTGAGCCAAGCTATTACGCGATTGTATCTTAAATAAAATATCACCAGCGTTCCGACGCCAGCCACTCGAAATAATAATTGTCATCTGGATGTCAGCTTTCGCTCTTGCGTTCCTTTCACCCTCGTCTCTGGGCCCATGTCCCTTTCCTGTCCATCTTCTTGTTCCCCTTTCCGCGTTTACGTTTCGAGAAAATGTAAAGATATGATCGCTACAGTCCGGGAGAATTCAAGTGAAAACGTTTCGATTTTCACGAAATATTTCTTTTATTTCGGATTCGTATATATCTTAGAAGTTACTCCTATCGATATAGCAAATTGTGCCAAGGCGAAATTAGTTGGTTTAGGATGAATAACATCGACTTTAAGATTTTCTTCCTTTGAAGCTATTTTTGTCCAGTTTTCAATGTCACGAATATATTTTTATTCTTTACAAAAGACACATTGCAGTACTTTTGTAAGATCTATCGTTCCAGTGACGACGAAAAAAAATATACGTAATGATCCAGCAATGAAAGTTATCTTGAGACATATCATTCCGTTTCTAATCTTGAAACATTGAAACCCATTAGCATAGATAATCATAAGAGTATAACAATTTCTACAAAAATCCTTTTCAGTTTTTCTTTTAGTTTAGTTAATAGAAAATCTTTTCTAGTTAAACACATATAATAAATACATACAGTTAAACATGTATAATAAACTGTATTTATTTCCTGTATTTATTTAGTTACTGTCTGTAGTTACTAGTCCTGTAGTTATTTAGTGTTAAAAATTATGGTCATTTATACTACTGATATACGAATTACGCTTTATTTTAACTAACGTGATTTAAAAGAAGGAACAACAAAGCTATCCTCGCCTCAGCAATCGAGTGGCATAGCTTAGAGAATTAATTAAATTTCAGCTTAATACGCGAATAAAACGAACGATTTAATAACATCAGCAATTAATATCTACGTTGTATTTTTTCTTTTTTTTTTTTTTTGCGTCGAAAAGTATTCATCAACCATTTCAATTAAATATGTGAAAATAAATTCCTTTGTGAATTCCCCTGGACCAGAAAACTTGTTCCCTTTCTCCCTGTGCTTCAATTTTTTTCCTTTTTCCTTCTCTCTCTCTCTCTCTCTCTCTCTCTCTCTCTCTCTCTCTCTCTCTCTCTCTCTCTCTCTCTCTCTCTCTCTCTCTCTCTCTCTCTCTCTCTCTCTCTCTCTCTCTCTCTCTCTCTCTCTCTCTCTCTCTCTCTCTCTCTCTCTCTCTCTCTCTCTCTCTCTCTCTCTCTCTCTCTCTCTCTCTCTCTCTCTCTCTCTCTCTCTCTCTCTCTCTCTCTCTCTCTCTCTCTGTTTCTCCATTTCGCGACACAATATTGTACTTTTAATTATTTCGAACGCCGTGATCCTGCGAGCGTTATTAAAGCAATTGCAACAGGTATCGTCGCTTGATTCCGGAACGGACACTGGGAACGCTGCGAATATCGAGTGTAAAAGTTTTAGCAATGGAGGATTTCCATTCGAACGTTTCTGCCAGAGGTGCAAAAGTTAACAAGATTTTTCCTCTGCGACGTTTATTAAAATCCTCAAGTATGGAGAATCATTCGATTGATTAGAAGAAATTATATTCGTTTATCAGATACACAAATGAGTTTGGTGTAGCGCTTAATTCGTTTATCCCAATGGTGTACTTTCTTTCTTGTCATCTTGTTTAGACGAGGTACTTAATGAAAAAATATCGAATATAAAATTATGATAAAGGACGATTTCTTTAATATATACATAATATACCTCTAACGTTCTACATAATGTAAATAATATATAATACATAAAATTGTATAATAAATTAAAATTCAAACATACATTAGCTGAATACTTTAAATAAGCTACTCAAATCATAGTAATTCGTTCGTTTCTTCTTTCTTTTTATCATTTCAGATCACCTTTTCACGGACTAAAATTGCAGCCAACTTTTAATATCTTCTACTCAAACACACCGATGGATCCACACCTCATCATATACGCACCATATTTTGAAAGGAGTTGGAAACCAACTAACTAACATTAAACCAACTAACCAAAAGTCCAACAAATTTTTAATATCTTCAAGTGAAACACACGAATGGAGCCAGGTCTCGCGTATCGTATCTTAAAAGGAATCTGAAGAACACACGGAGCGTTTCGATCACTAAACCAACCGACTAAAATTGCAAGAAAATCTTAGTACCTTCAACCGAGACACACCGATATAACCAGCGTATACGCGTCATATTTTACGTGCATTTCGATCGGCCAACCTTTGCAGGCGGATATCGTTTCGAAGGTGAAATAATTATTGTACCGAAGGCAACGAGCGTGCAGCGTGCACGATAAAATCCTTTCCGTAGATGGCGAACAACACATATTCATTCGCACGAACATGCACACAATCTCCCTTTCTCATGTGTACTTGTGTATGTATATGCGAAACATACATACATACTTAGTTGAAGCAAGAAAGAGAGTCGAGGAGCTTATTTACTTAGCCTGCACACCACCCCCAGACGCAGGGAAAACAGTTATACGTAGCTAACTACGTAGCTACGCTAATTAGAACCACTCCGGCGGAATAATTAGAAATTAGACCGAACGGACTGCCGGCGAACTGGGCAGAGAACGCCGTCGGAGACACTCTTAATATATGCCTTTTATTTTTCCGCTCTCCCTCGTTTCACAGGATTGCACGCAACGGAAAACGGGTGTCGTTGGAAGGAGGATAAAAAGAAGCGGAGCGTGCGGTTACACCACTTCCAAGACGTCCGCACGATCGAACGCTCAGTCGCTTGTAATCTCGTTTGCTCCTCCTTTTAATAGATCGTTAATTAGCGAACGAATTAACTAGCCTTCCATTTCTGGTATAACCTTCGATCGATAAATTTTTCTTCTTCTCGACAGATGAGGTACAGTGATTCGCGAAAGTTATTCGGACGCTTATTATAAGTTCGTCATGCGTTATATGAAAAATTGTGAGATTTCTTTAACGTTGTAATGAAATACGATTATCATAATTATATTGGAAAGAAACCAATTTGAAAATGGACATACGTAGAAATTGTAAGACGTTTGTTGCAAAAATATATTTAGTAAAAAATGAATATATAGTATGAATAGACATTTAATATATATATACTGAAGTGTAAAATATGATATGTAATATATAGTATATATCTAATAAGAGTCTTATTAATATAATAATTGACTGTCTCTAGATATCCTTGACTCTGCAAAATATACATACTTATACTAAATATCTTGTAGTTTCTGTATCAGATTTTCAGATTCGTTTCACATTTTATCGATATAATCATGATAATCGAGTCTTCTAACAGTACTAATAAAAGTTCAAAACGTTTCCTTTAATACGCGTAATATTCATATAAGATTTGCGCAAAGTGTTCCAGAGAAGATATTCGAAGCTGTTTAATACGATTAACTTGAAGCTAAATGATTCGACTATTAAGAATGATCGTAAACGAGCAACGGATGCTCGTGAACAGATAACTAAATTAACCAAAGATTTTATAAAACTATCAATCTGACAATTATCGATCTTATAACTAATTCATAAAAGACGCAAATCATCGCACACAATAAAAGAATCGTAGCTCGATCTCGAATTAACCTGTTACTAACAGCCGGTTGTCTCGAAACAATCGAGCCAGGTAAAAGCGGGTTAAACGGATCGCGAACTCGTTTCTACCTTAATTATAATGCTGTTTCTCTGTTTCTCCTATATCAGAGAGAAAGAGTGGGGAAAGTTTGATTTTTCGCGTGACAAAGGCAAAAGTTTATCGGTTCGACGACGCGTAATTATCGTTGTTTCGATGGGAGGAATAGTCAACGACAGAGTCTTTCAGAGTACACGGGGCCAATTCCGATGGGGCAGCCCCCGGTTTCTACAACTTTAGCGGTAATTAACAATCGGTCGCGCATAACAAACTGAATTTAATTAATTGCATAACTGCACGGAGGTCCGTGCTTCTAATCGAACCGGGTACATATTGTTGCAGCCACCCTTCTACCCCTCATCAGCCACCGGCAATTAATTATAGCATTCCGGGTTAGCCGGGGAATTAATTACGTCCAGAAGTTGGACGTAGCCGGGGGATCGTTAGAAATCGTCCTTCGTTAGAGTTAAGCGAGCACCGGTTCCGCTGGTTATTGATGGTTTCTGGTTCCTCATCGGCCTGTTACTGACAGGGCCGAGTGCCCGTCCCGGCAATTCTGCATCCGTCTGCAATCAGACGCACTTTGCATTTTAATAAGAACCAATAATGTTATGGGATTTCTCTCTTTGCTCGGCCCTATCTTTATTTTCCCATGTTTTCTCCTTCCTTTAAGTTAGTAAACTTTATCTTTTTTTGTCGTTTTTTATTTCTTCTTGTCAATGATCGTCATTTCTGTTTCTTTCCTTGTCAACCTTCTCGCGTTTGGTATGCGATGTTATATTTCAAAAAATGATTAATCCAACGATACATTTATTTTTCGTAAAACCAGCTTTATTTTAATTTTGCTTCCTTGCGAAAATTTACCAAAGATGAGTTATTAATAGGTAAAATCCATTTTAAGGTAATTATTCGAATTTAATATTCCAAGAAAACCGTAGCTCTCTAGGTAAGAAAGTTACTTCAGCAGCGATAAGTTCTAGGATCTTCATCGTTCAAGCTGTTCTCCAGTTTGATCTCTAGATGATCAACTACAATCAGCCATCTCTCTCGAATGATTCGATACGAAAAAAGAGAAATTTACATGTTAACCATCCAATTCAAGACGGCTGTCCACCGTCGGAATTTCTAAATCGAAACACGCGTCCGAGATACATCGGAAGAAATAACGGCTTCTTGATCGACACAGGGCAAACGAGCCAGGACCGCGGTTTTTGGTCTGGGATTATATTTAGAGGCATCCGGGGCGTCCGCCAAACATTCGTCGTAATTAAAGACGGTTCGGTAACGAGTTAGCGACAGTCAATTAAGAAAAATTCCTACAGTGTATTATTAGAAATCCGCGGTCATTAAGGGGAATGAGACAAAGCGGATCCGTTGGTCGGTCAGATGGGGTGGGTGACGTTTCTAACGAGCGAAACACGTCGTGGTGTCTCGACGCTTTTTGCGAGGGTTACACCTCGCGAACACACGCCTATTTATACGACCACTTTTATTTAAAGTGGCATAAACTTACGGATATAATAGGTGCACGTCGGAGGTCGCAGGGTCCTCGTACACTAAGACCGACAGAGTGAGGGAGAATCTGGCATTCTCCGTCCCGTGGAGGAGGCATTTAACAGACGTGCACGTGTTCGACCATATTGCATTTGTGTCGTTCGATAAATAGGTAGGTAAGCAACTCCAACGGAAACCCGTGTTAATTAACGTTGAGTTTCAGGACTGATTTACGTGGCGTCTAATTAGCGGGCCTGCCGGCGACGTAGTAGGCATTTTGATTGGCCACTCCGCGAATAGAGCATGGGCCGATTGGCCTTGCTTTCCTGTTCCGACAGTATCGATTGTTTTCGTTTCTTCTCCCTGCCCTGCTGCCTCCTCCGCTTCTCTCCTTCTCCAACCCCTGTCCCTCCTACCTCAACCGTCACCCATTGCAACCACCCCGTCCCAGCCCTTGTGGTTGCTCTTTTTACGATCTCCTCTTGGAACAAAGCGCAGATAGCTGGAGCAGTTGCGCGTCCTCAAAGGGATTCCGTCGCAAGAAGAGTGTCGGCTCGAAAATAATGTATTACGGCCGTCTGCTCGGCCATTAAACCGTGCGCTTTTTACGCTATTATTAAAGTTTTATTTCGGCCCATCGGTTCCCCCGCAGGATCACATGCATTGTTCTTCTTTTACATACTTGCGATCCTCCATCTTGTCCACCGCGTGCTTGTCCGCCGAGTGATTCATGCACCCTGCGCCGGTAGGGTTATTAACGATTCCTTAATTAAATAAATTCTTCCGTTTCCCTTTTTATTCGGCCAACTGTCAGCCTATTTTCTCCTTCCTGTGCAAGGAAATGCGTAGACCAAGAAAGAGTTAGTCGAATTAGTGGAATACTTGAATCAAGTTACGCGATTCATTTTGCGATATATCAAATTCGATTACGAATAACTCTTTCCAACGATTGGTCTATGAAAATAGATTCCTTGACTCGTCGCTAGTGATATGAGAAAATCTTATTGACAGTTCGACGGTCATAGTTTTCTATGAGAATATAACTTTCACTCATCGAAAGGAAAGTTTGTTCAATTAATATTAATATTCTCGGTTGTAAGCATGATAATTCAGTAGCGTGCGCATACTACTTTATTTCTGAAAGTTATTCGATTGTTTATTTTATTACTTCCTGTATATTAAATACCTCCTTCTATTTTAGATAATCCTATTAAAGGATTATCCGAATGATTTTCTCGTTTTTGACATTTTCTCTTGCTCCACCTACAGTACACGATATTTTTCATTTTTTCGTTATCATATTATAAACTAGTGCAAAGTACGAGATCGAATATCGAGAATGTTGTAGCTTAATTGAGTCGAATAACTCTACTTTAGCCTATACGTTGCGTTGTTCTCTTTCTTCTTTGTTTCCCTATGTACAAAGATGGAATTGATTTGTTTCTTCGAAGTCAATTCACAGGGGTTAAATTGAATTTGCTGGCACCAATGGCTGCCAATTACCGCAGTCTGTGTGTATAATAATTCGATCGAGTGGAGCTGGCCCCGGTGCTTATGCGCCGCTTGTATTTAAATTGTGTTATTGCCGTACAATAGTTTCGTTTATCGTACGCCCAGGAAAACGATACAGCGCGGTGCACCGTAGTTCGAACTATGTTCAATTCCATTGTATTTTATTAGAGCCGTTCCAATAAAATCTGATTACATGAAAAATTGATTGCGTGCGCGCGAGCACGCGCTTGTGCGTTTACCGATTCTACGTTTGCAGCCGTGTGCCACGTTGAATTTTCCAAAAAATTAGACGTCCAAAGCTATGAAACTTTGATATGAGATTTCTCTGTCAGAAATGTCCGATATTGGGATTCTTAATTGTTTCACAGATAATCCTTCCGATTCGATAAACATATTTATACTAGAAACTTAAGAAAGTACACCGGGTTGTCAAATAAATTTCTGCAATGCTTTATTTTTTTCAAGTTATTGTTATTAAATGTTATCTTGATTTAATGTGCAGCGTAATGTATGTACATTTTTATATATACACATATGATGATGTATTTACAAATAAAATACAAGAGAAAGAAGTAAATATACGTCGTTGAACTTTTATACTATCGTAATCTCTGTCGAAACTTGTTATTTTTTGTAATACTCCATAATGTTGATTATAAAATGCCTTAGAAAATACATGTGCGATTTAAGTATTTCTTTTCTTATTCATCGATCGCCGCAATTCTTTTACTGAACCTCCATAAAACACGAAGTAACTGAGAAATATTAAGAGACGTTATTCACTGATGATATCTCGGTCGGTAAAGTTGGAAATTGCTAATATTATAACCTTCGTATACTTTCTTAATAATCTCTAATAATGAAACTCACCTGTACTTATACCTCGCCATAGTGAAATGAAAATCAACTATAAAAGATTTGTAGCAAGATCTCACAACAAAACTACGTTCCGTTTTTTACAGAAACCTGCAACTGTGCCGCGTAATGTTAAAGTCTGCCACAGATGTCGCACTAGTAGTTTCCTTAAATCGATTGCTTCTTGATCTTTCAACAAATTATTTCCCGTTAACAACATTATTTCACCATTTATTCAGCAATTAATCACATACTTGCAAACTTTCCAATTATCGGGAAATCAGTTAATAAAATTTTACGCAAACCTATTAAGCTCAGTACAGGGACAAAGACACCTGTATAGGTTTTTCTTTTTTATCAAAATATCTGCGCTCAATTGCGTAGCATTATCGTTCTGAAATTCGGTATTCGACAGCCAACTTTCAGCAGGATTGCTAATTCATAAACGTTTATTACATCTATTTATGTCCTTTTTGAAAATATCGTTGATGAATGAGTAGTAGATAACGCGTAGACGAATAATAATAATTGATTATCGAACAATTCGATCATTTACTCGATGACAACTACATCGTGGTCGAATATTTTCAAAGTAAGTTGTAGAACTACAGAAGCATGAAAGAAATAAAATCTATAGATTCTAAAATAACTGATGAGTATTTCAAATATATTTTTAGAGCAAATTAATCTGTTAACCAAAGGAGACGAGTCAACTTGTCACTCAAACTGCAACTTTCTCAGTTACGATAATATCTTCAATTAAAAATCCGCTACTTGTTTACGTAATCGCCGTTAAAAACGGATTATTTTACATTTATGTTTGCAAGAACTAAAACCGACTTAACTGAAGTTGATCTGTCTTTTATAAAGTTCCTGGCTAACAACGACTCGGTTAATAAATTAATTAAAATTCCAATGATTTTGATAGATATTCCACTGGTTCTTTTCGTCCGACCTTGAAACGTCCTTGATCCTTTCTCTCCCAAGAAATAAAAGAAATTGCCATCGCGTCCTTTCCTCAATGGCAAAACAACTTCCGCCACGGGGAGAGAGAAACTTTTTCCCCGTCTCCCGAAAACGCGGCCAATAAGTTTCCGAAGGTGGAGGCATGAAAAGTTTGGAAAGCTCGCTCATTAATCTCGCCACGCTGGGTACGATATCTCGTGAGATTCAATTTCTTAAATTGGACAGTAACGTTCGCTTACCTCGAGGTCGTTTTGGGCTTCCTCGTCTGCGTCTGTTCGCGGTAGACTGCCAAGGAAATGATCGTGTAAGTATACTGCGGAAGAACTGGGACGGATGTGATATTTCTCGTATATACACACATCAAGAATCGAACGTATGACCAAGCATATATATGTGACTCACATGAACGAACGACGTTCTAAAAACTTGTGATTTTTATTTAATTAATAAACGTGTTTTGTATGTGTCTGTGTGTCGTGTGTATTTTTTTCTTTTTTTTTTTTGTATTTTACAAGAGGCCGCGAGAAATCATTCAGAGATGTCGTCGGGTCCCGAATAAGAAGATCGAGATAAATCAAATAACAAAATTAACTAAACGCGAAAAGATCGTGATCTGATCCAACCGCGTGTACGCTCAACCGAGGACAACGTTCTTCGACGTACCACCACCAATGGATGCGACCTATTCGTACAATCTTTCCAGTTTTCTTCGATCATTTCGCAATATTGGAAACCACCATCTTGTGGTTCGAATCGAGACGAGCGGATAGATCTTAAAATTAAGATTTCGAACTGAGTATGAGGAATCGTAATTTCACGTCGCTTTAAACCAAGATAGATAAAAAGCAAATTGAACGAAATCTTCATTAACGATACAAAGGAAACAAAACAAAATAATCAGTTTCATACTAGAATAAGACCGATGAAAATGATCATCTCGCTCGAACAATCATCAAGCGAGTCACACGTTCGATCGTACAATGTAGCGGATGATCGAAATCGTGCATCCACTAGTGATGGCCGTCGAGGCATCGTACCCGCGATCGTCCATCGTAGGACGCGCGGTGTCCCGTCGCCGCATTTAATAGTAAATACATAACCATTTATATCACACAAACTTTTAACAATATACAAAATGTACCCTATGTACAAGATTAAATTACACGATCCGTCAGCAAACAACTCCTTCGTCCGATCGAGCTTCTTCCATTCGAGAGCATGAAGTTTTCGTTTTCTCGCACGATCGCGTCGTGGGTCGAAAGAATTGGAGAACACGCGCGCTATATTCGAAGAGAAATCGACGCGAAATCAGCAAGGGAACGAACGCGCTCTCCCTTGGATCCCTTTCGTCGAGCACCATTGCGGCGATCGTGCGTTGAAAACATTGTCATCCGCTTTTTCTTTTTCGTTCTCTCCTTTTACTTTTTTTTTTTTTCATTCCGTTAACTCTTTAACTCTATCATTCTCGTCTCGAATCCTCGTAAGCGCGAGGCGGCGTTCTCAGAGACGAAAGTTTCGCTAAGAACGATACGGGTAAACGAGTAACGATCAGTTGCACGGCACGGAGGCGGTCGTTCGGTCGCTTTATAGAAATTTCGGACATGGCACTTGTCGATCGATTTTAAAATAACGCGGAAAACATACAGTGACTCGTATTGATATTCGAACACGTGGTATGCGAAACATTATTGTTTGTAATTAACTAGTTGACTTGTTTTTAATATATTAGAATAAATACTGTAGTTGAATAGTGAAATATTGTAGTTGATTGAAACATTTTATCTAATGTACATAGCTTTCCTAAATAAGAAATGCTAAGGTAAATAATTCTCAAATTTTATGAAATATCCGATTACTAATGCGAGTCATTGTATATGAAAAACGTCGGAAAAAATAGGGGAAGGGATATTTTTTATTTATCACAAACAAAACTTATTACTTTGAATAAACCTCGAAGAGGAAGTCGTATATTATAATCAGAGAATCACTGATCGTTCGTCAACGACTTTTCTTTTTTCTATTAGCTAGTATGCTATTTAGGTCTATACAATGTATGAATTTTTTCACAATGTTCGTTAGAATTCGTTCGATATATTTTTGCAATGATCTCGACGATCGTTCGTCAAACGAAGAATTCTACATATCTCGAGGATGAGAAATCGACAAGAAAATGTAGACCGCCATAAAGCGAACCGAGGCAGCCGTTTCCGCGTGATTTACACCCAAAACATGTGTCTTTAGTTTCGCATTGAGCTTCGAACGTGCCCGAACCTGTGTCGTTTCCGGTTTCCCTGCCGGTTCGTCGACTTCGACGACGGAACAGCGTGTCTTGATGGAAAAAGGAAACAATTTGTACAACTTGTAACGAGGGACTTCGACACGGAAACCGACGACAAGCTCGGGCGATAGTAGATATATCGTAACGTGTTCACGATTATACATTTACGTAAATGTTTATTACGGATGTCGAAACCCTGCCACTTAGAAAAAGTATTGTTACACGCTTCAATCCTTCGCCATGAGCATCCTTGGGCAGCGGAGCTCGCGCTCTCATCATCCGACAGTGTATCAACTCTATTTCCTGTCTACAAGAATTTTCTTTATTGTGCAGCTTACGCGTCAACTTTTTAATAAACAGAAAATATCGACAAAACACTTTGCTTTGATTCAGGACAATGAGTTTCTCTCTGCAGAAATTTTCTTTATCGTGCATCCTATGTATCAATTTTTTTAAT